AAGTTCTGGCTTAGTCTTATGTTTGTAGTGTTCCATTGATGATTTTATTGGGTTGGTCACTGTGATCTTTAGATTGAAGACCATTTTTTTGTAATTTTGGGCTTTGAATCTGATATTTTTATTGATAGATAATTGAAAACATTTTGAAATTCTTCAGTCAAACTTAGAATCAGGTTCTGAGATTTATACGTGAGTTTGAAACTTCTGAAATATCCTGATTGTGGTTGTCCATGCAATTTTTGAAGAAAGAAAAAAACACCAAAAACAAGGTAAGAGAGCATCATAATGTATCACAATCATCCATACATAAAAACCATCACACCATCCCATCAACCACACAGCATCACTTTGAAACATCCTCATTGTTCTGAAAAACATGTCTGTTTCACCGCCACCGCCCACCATTTTCACCCCAAAGTACTCCCATTTTCATGCCAGTTGGTCACTACAAATGCAGGGTTTTCTCTATGGTGCATTAATATGCATTATGGTGTAATTTCATCACACAAAGTGGTTCAGTTGCCTGAGCTCTAAGTTGATTATTGCACCATGCCTTCTCATTTTAGTAAAACCTCCCTGGGGAGCTGAAAAACACAAGAGAGGGTAACAAGATTGTCAAACCTTTTGGAGAAACAGCTCTCTCAGCTTGATGGTATCATGACTCTTGACATTGCACTCAGTGACCGTTAACACAGTTAGGACTAAAATGTCAGGAGTGGTTGTGTCTTTACTCAGAGTAGACGGTAACTCAGAATAGACGGTAACTCAGCGTAGACGGTAAATGTCCTCAGATGGACAACAGCGATGAAGCTCTAACTACCATTCTTGAGTTCATTGTGTCACAGGCCACCAAGACTCTTTTTTTGGTCAGTTACGAGTAAAATTTCAGTGAGTGGACTCTGTGAGATGCTGCCGTTCTTAACAAGATCACTGACGAATTAACCAAACTCTGTTTCCATTGATCAGTTGAAGAACACCCAATAGACTATTTTGATAAAGCCACCATTCCTTGGGCCTGCTGTAAATCTTTTCTTGAATGTTGAAAATTTCAATGTTTGTATCCAAGAATAGAAATTTTAGATTTTTTTTTTTTTTTTGGTCTTGGTCTTTCGTGTCTGGTAGAGTTGATTGCGAAGACCAGGAGGGAGGGGTTTGACGCAGTTAGTGCGCAGGAAGGGTGTAGCCCTTTTTTTCCGCAGTGAGTGTGACCTATGACTAATCGTTTCTTCTTATTCTGCAGATGTTCTTAACTGCAACTGTGTTACAATTTTTTTCCAATCACTGCATAAACCAGTGGTGCCATTTTTTTTTTGACAATCAGTCCATGAGTCTGGATCCCCTGCCTCACACCTTTGGACTTTTTTGTCTCTTGGACTGCAGATACCACCAAACCGTGGAACTTCTCATTCAACTGCAAGAACCCAGAAAATACTTTGACTATGATGTATTTCTTTTAGGGGTTTTGATACTCACACATTTGCCGAGAGTAAGTTAGCTACGTTTGACGAAAGCAAAAAGGTATATTGTGTTTTACTGGTTTTCTATTCTTTCTTTACATATTCAACAAAGCTTTCAAGTCTCTCGGTTGCCTGACATGGAGCTGCATCCTGTGTTGAGTTTTTTGACTTTGCCCAGGACCCCATTGTGCTTGATCTAACCATGCAGTGCATCTTCTGTCCATGGTTGTGCCAAGCACCTTGGAGGCTTCGGAGCACTATCTGCCTTCTGTTGTGAACTTCTAAGCAATTTAGAAAACTCAGAAATGCATTATCAAGTTGCTGATGTACTTGTGCATTTTTACATTTAAAAATATGAAAGAAACAAAGACAGTGCAATAAAACTTTGGAGAAAATTCAGACGGTAGAGCACGAAGGCAACAACTCCAGAGCAAAAATAGAAAAAGGACCAATAACTACAAGGTACTTTTAATCTTTACATGATAAACAGTTTTATCATTTCCATGCTCCAATTTTCTTTTTTATTTTCATTCATGTTGTCTCATCTCATGATGCACTAAGATGTAGAACTGTGACCAATAAATATCATCTAAAAATCCTGTGTGTATTACTTCCAACAAGTTTTTTTTTCCATATCTTGAATGAATTGAATAAAAAAAAAAGTGAGTGAGTGTGGGTCTCACAGGGTTTATAACATTCATAAGGATAAAGCTGTCATTTTCTATAAGATGGTTGGTTTCAATATGGCAGATTTGTGGAAACGATCAATTGCAGTAAGTGCTCAGTGGCTTTTAACGATGGCTAATAATGTCAGCCAGTAGAGGTCATATATTAAAACAATGTGCACTCTTATAAGACTGCGGACACATCGCAGATCTTTAAATCAAAGAATGAGACATTGCGCAATGGCTGAGACATACAAGGTGGTGGAGGTGCTTTAGGCAGTGAGTTCTTGAAATGATGATACAATGATATTATTCTTTGTTTCCATATAGCGCTTGGCTACATATTTGACTTTCAGTCGGTTTGACTTTGCAGTGTGAAGTCAAATCACAAATAATGCATTTCACCAATAAAATTTTAATCATTAAACCAGATTCCTCATTTCTTGACTCTTACTTTTAATGAATTCAGTCTTTACTTTACATGATAATATAAACTATAAAATAATGTAAGAATCTTTGGTTTGACTTTTTGTCATAAAGACGGTGAACCGCCTAACCCTAACCCTAACCCTTCATTTGTTGTGTTGTACTGAGTTAATATGCCATCTTGGAGAAATATTTATTCATGCGTTTGTCATTTCCAAAATACATCCTCCTTTGTTTGGGAAATGCAACCTTGCCAGCAGTTTGTGCCCCTCTGACTGTGGATGAGGTGGGGTGCTACTCCTCAACCCTAGCTGCCATCTTAATGCAGTGATCATTATCATATTTAATATTTTAAATATATGCATTTAATAAATTGAAAAAAACCCACACAGGTGTTTCTAATACTATGAATGCTCTGTTCTCTTCAATTATCTCAGGAAGCCATGACACTGTGACCTTGACTCTTCAGGACTCTGAAACTGAAGCAGCTCAATAGAATTCAGCCTTCATTAATTTTATTATTTGCACCTGTGATTTTCTGTTATTTTGTTATGGTCTCACGTCAAAATGCTTTCCATGATAATGTTTATTGAAGATTCTTCTGAGAGATTGAGAGACTTTTTAATGAGAAATCAAAGCAACCAGAAATACCTTTAAACCGGGTTTAATCGACACAGAACAACACTGTATAGCAAACTCACTGGATATATAGATCAGAATGGACATTTGCTTATTTGAAAATTAAAGTATAATAATAATGATGTTATTCCAATGTAAATACATCTTAAGCAAAAATGCTGGATTCTACCAATTTAGTCCGATATCCCAAATCCATAGTACATATTGATAAGCAGGTTTTTAGTATAAGCTGTGTTCACAATAGGAAAGTATACTCAAAGAGAATGCAAAAATTTTAATAACTGTAGGTGGTGATATAGCTCCAAAAAATCTTGGAAAACAAAAAATATGTATTAAATCTTAGGAAAAGAAATTTAATTGGCAGCAGCTTTCCAAAATCGCATGTTGAATGACAACCAATGTCATGCATTTTCTTCCACTTAGTATAAATTGGTACTCTTGTACACTGCTAAAATAGTAAGACAAGTACACACTGTATAAAATTAGTATATATTATTGTTATGGGACACAGCACCTTATGTCAATAGTTTTTCTTGTTTCAAGCTGATCAGTTGATCAGACATTGCTCCCAGTAAATTGTGCAGCCTGTCACCGACCTCATATCCAGACAGGGAATATAAGGTTTACAGATTATCAGGGTCAAAACCAAGAGTACTCTGCAATCATCAGCTGACCACAGAATGACACGCATAAAGATCTTTTTATTTCATCTGATTAGTCGCTCTTCCATCTCAAGAACTCTTGAAATCACAGGGTTACAAGTGCTTCAGATCATAGAATTATCCAAACTGTTCCTAACGTAATTCATATGCAGTAACAAATGTTATACTGCCTGCAGGAAGGAAAAGCAAAAACAGTAAGTGACAACTCTTTTAGACTACTGCAGGTGGCACGCAGGTGTCTACATATGACAGAGCATCAACTGTCAACTATCAACTGTTACATTCTGAAGCTGAACATAAATACTGCATAATGTTCAAATGGGTCATTATGATCTCATTAAAGTCAGTCACAGTTTTTTTTCACCACACAAGATTTAAATATCAAAAACATTTAAATTTCCTCCCTCACACGTTCAACATATCAAGCTTATTTCACATCTTACACTGCCATTTTTTAAGTAACAGCAGGAAATACTTCACACCAGAATAGAATTATACATAGTTTTGACACAGCAGGGATATATTAATACTAGATGTGGGACTTCCTTCTCAAAGTGGAACCCAAACTCTTTGTCTTGAAACAACTCCTACAGCTGATTCACTTGGATGTACCACCTACAAGAAGTGACATTGCATTTTAGTACAAGATGAGATGTTTTTAAACACAGAAGGATTTCAAGATATCTGTACCAGATTGTCAGGCTGTAAACAGTGTACTTTATTAGGTTATCTTTAATTCCACAGCATGTGGTACTCTTCGTACATTCAAAACAACCCCTGCAAACAGTTAATTATGATTTGGAAGGATGAATCGTATGGCGGTTTAGTCGTTTTAGGACCCACATTATTAACAAAAACCATAGAATCACAAAGTAGGAGAAACATGTGACAGAGCTTGTTCTACTGATGAGAACAGGGATTTCCAGTATACAGGCTATGGCTCTATGAATGTACAAGAGCTACAGTAACACAGAAAAAACAAACTGATAACTCCAATAGTGCAAACCTAAGTGATAGCTGTTGTGAACACCGGGATAACAAAATGATTTCTGAGCTGAAATAGGACAAGTTAATTTCTTTTTAACTCATATGAAATGTAAATGGATTGTTATGTGGCACAAGGGCACCATGTTTCTCTTAAAAGGGCACTGTTTTTTTTTTTTGTTTTTTGTTTTTTTTTTTTTAAATGTGTCTCTCTAAGGTTGCCTTGCTAGAAGCGTATGAGTACCATTGTATCTGAGGATTTATGTGGTTGTTATAAGACACTATGCCCCTAATGCTGAAGGACCGGCTTATCTTCAAAAGGCTGTTTTGTCAACGCTGGCAGTTTTGAACAGTCACGCGGACATGGTGAAGCAGAGAGTGTGAAAGCTCAACTGTGCTGACAGGAAACCAATGCCACCCCCAAAACACAAAAAAAAAAACAAACAAACAAAAAACAAAAACTCCAGATTTTACATTTTCAACTCTGTGGACAATTGTTCCAATAACGGCATCATTTTAGTAGTTTTTTTTTTTTTTTTTTAATCCAACCTATCCAGTCATATGAAGAGCAAATGCTCGTGTTGCAAGCAAACAGGAAACCAGTTGCTTTAAGTCCATGAAATGAAGAAACATGTTAGGAAGTATTTCCCGCAGAGGCCTCAGTGCAGGCCTTCATCTGTCAGTACAGAAATCTTGGCCATAGTTTTGTGTTACAGTGACTGTTCTATGTTCAAATACTGTGCAACCATTTGTATGACCTCTTGCTGAGATCATACCACAGACACTAACTAGTGATGTGGCCGCTGGCGGTCTGAACAGCCTTCAAAGTCAAGCCTTGTCAAACAATGGAGGACAAGCCATAGAACATTAAACTGAGAAAAACCGTGCTTTGGCAAAGAGCATTTCTACAATTAGGAATTTTGGCTCGATCATACCAATAGTTGCAAGACATACATCTTTACCAAAGGAGGCAAAAAATGCCATGTGACATTGGTTGGCTAAGTAAAAATTGTGCCAATGCCAGCAGTCTGGATGACAATTTCCATGGCTACATTTGCTCCAAGGACAGTAATGCTGTCACCAATACAGTACTCTTGTAATAACTCATCTACAACCTATATAACCATGTCTGTGGATGGACTTTCAGGATATTTCTCTTTACTGTAGGTTGCAACTTCCATATGCAGTTCACACAACGCACCCAAATAGTTGGTGTTGGAGGGTTTGATATGGGTTCAAGTGTAAGTAAAACACGCCAATGTAACCCCCTGATCTACAAAATATCCATCTCAAGCGTAGATCTGTCCTGGACCACCTGTGCGTGTGGTTTCTCCGCTGAGGCGCTCCTGGCTTGGCTGGCGGTTGGTGTCACTGGATTTAATGACACTCGTGTAGTCATGGATCCCCACTTCCAAGTTCTTGGCCCTCAAGGCAGCAGTATGTAGCTTCTCCAGAAAGTCAGGCATGCCTGCCAGGTGCAAAGGAAGAACCTCCTTATTATCATTGACGACACACACACACACACTCAGTGGGCAAACATGTAATGTATGTGAGGAAAGAAACAAATTCAAAAGTATAAAAATACACATGAAAAATGCAGAATTTGCAGTTTCAACCAATGAAAGGAGCTCACCACTTGACACCATCCAGCTCACACAGTAACGGGGAAAAACAGTCTGAGGGTCATCACTGTACGTCAGCAGGTAATCAAACCCATTCTGTGAAGAAAAAGTCAGACTCAGTGGCTACAAAACAAAGGACGCTGGATGCAATTTTAAATAATTCTGTAGCAGCACATTCACCACAAACCTCATCAAAGGACTTGTGAGGGCGAATGACCATCTTTGACTGGTATGAATGGACTCTCACAAATTCCTGAGTCTCTGGGACTCTGGGATGCTGCACGGCTCTGTACAACAGAATTAAAAATAAACAAGATAAAATGACATATGCAATTTAAGTTGTGCATTATATATAGATAATATATCAAGAACTCTCGAAAATTATAATGTCCCACCTGGATACCAAGACCATCAGGTTTTTGTCGACATCAACATCATAGCGGCGCACATACACATAGTCCCTTGAGTACATGGGATACTGTGAGGGGAGATAAAAAAAAAACTATCTGACCATTTCAAATACAAACTGATGAATATAACATGGCTGGTATTTGATCTTGACCAAGTGTCATTGTAAATGTCCTTCAAGCTTGGCTTGCACAACAAAAGACAAAAGTCCTCTGTAAACAAACATTAGGTAGAACAAATAGCCTCATTCATTTAGGCATAACAGAAATCAACAGAAACTCACAGGGAAGTGTGTAGCCCAGTGCACAACTTCAGAGCCAGTACTGACATCTCTGTCCACCACTTCAAGCTTGATAACCAGAGAATCCCACTTCTTTCTGTACTCTGTATCCAACTGGGGGAAAGGGGAAAGCATAAGTCAAGGATAAGGTGCTTAATATAGCACATAGTTTTACAGTTGCTTTTATGCTGCACACGTAAAACACAAACATGCAGGTTGTGCAAGAGCGGTGGGGTAATGGAAATGCAAAACAAGCTGCCATTAGTAAACCATGTTCACAATTCATGAATAAAATAATCACATGCGAAAGTCCCACTGCCATAAATACTAAACCGTCAACCAAATTACTTTCATTACTGGTTGGATATACTTGTGTAATTGTCATTTTATTTCAGTAATACAAACATTTCCCATGGTTCATAAGTTGGGGCTTCAGGAATGAGGAGATGTCTGCACACTCAAAACCTTCAAAGAGCTAAAAGTGCAGCTCTCTCATACTTCCTTATGTTTTCTTATTGCAAGTACCTAAGTAGAACAAGTTATTGGTTTCACTTCCTCTCTTCATTAGTTGAAACTGACATATTCCTCGTAGCATATAATGAGAATTGAAAGGTCTGTACCTGTACGTTGAAGAACTGTCTTGGTGTGACATCGGTGTAGGAGCCCAACACTGCAATTAAAACATAAATAAGGGATATTGACTCTTCAGATAAATCATACCAATACCATCATAATCAAAGAAAAACTCAAACGCACAAAAGAGAGAAATCGGAATGTGTGCCCTTTCTACGTATAAGGTGAAACATGTGAGACATGTGTGCATTGGCTGACCTCTGTATTCATAGAGGTGACTGCTGGGAATAGGACGCTTCCACACTCTGAAGTCTTTCCTCTCCACCACAGCTTCCCAGCCAGAATCCTGTTGTCCGGCCACAGCCCCCAAGGATGTGCTTAGGCATTTTACAGCCTCCAGGGCCTGTAGTTCAAGTCCACACCTTCAAAAGGGATGCAAATATCAGGCTGTTTAGCATACTGCACAGGTGACATTATAGATCATAGTCAGATATGAAATGCAGCACTGAACATACAGATGGGTGACAAATTGAAGGGACAAACTATATTAAGTGGAGTAACATCTTGAATCGCAGAACAGCTTCAATGCACCTTTGAATAGATTCTGCAAGTCTATAATTCTATCATCCTTCTTCCAAAGTTACTACCTGATTGAATGTTTTGATGATAATGGAGAGAATGCTGTCTGACATGTTTCAAAATCTGCTGTAGGTGTTCAACTGGGATGAGATCTGGTGAACGTGAAGGCCATAGTATTTTCACAGTCATACCTTTTAGTGGCCCCCTGTTGCCCTAGGTTTGTCACCCTACTGAATGTCTGATCGCGATTGAATCCATGTGTGCATTTAATGAAATATTTCCAACCTGTGAATTTCCTCATCTTGAATCTTCTCATTCTCCCACATGAAGACACCAGCCAGGGCCGCGACAAGTTTCCCAGTGGGGGCGTGCTTGCTTTGAAATCTGCGCCATATGTTCCCAACCAGGTTCCACCTGGTGCGCTCGGAGTACAGGTTTGAGTAAAGCTCGCGGATCTGACAAGCACGTCGGAGCCTCTGTCCAGTCACAAAGCTGCAGTGGTCGGCAAATATGGAGAGTAAGTCCTTCTTCTTATGGCCAGATCCCGCGGCCTCACTGGCACCTGCTCTCTGGAGCCAGGAGAGCAGCAGGCCCACGTTCCTCCCCAGCCACGGGACCCTCTCGAGTTTTCCTCTGCCCTCCTCGACAGTCTGCCTGAATGACTTGCAGCTCTGAAGCCTTATTGTGTTTACACCGATCTCGCAGATCGGACGACGGGACGCGGAGTGAAACATGACAGCTGTGACCGTGACACTAGTTCTCAAAGACAAAATAAATGCAAGAGGCAGTGGCTAGCTAATGCACCTCGCAGCTAAGCTAATGCTCCGCGGAGATGAATCACACATTACATCTAAACAGATAATAACACTAACTTTTGGCAAGCAAAAGTCATAATTTTACTTTGGTTCTGATGTTAGTTATGGAGATGTCTGCGAACACGCGACATGAATTGTTAGCATTAGCTAACGTTATCTCTGTTAACTGCCAACTAGCGCGACACAGACAAAGTACACCCCAACGGCGCCTCGCTTATTTTTGAATACAAACTATAATTGCTGCATTGCAAACTATACTGTCTATTGTTGCTCCAGCACAACTGTCTACCTGTGAACCTTTTCCAGAAGACAGCCTCACGTTGTTCAAACTCTCGTAGGGAATTTGACCTCCTCTTCCTGCTGCCTCTCACACACCCACTCGGAAAACACGCCTTACAGATTCTGAAGCGGTCGTTCATTGGACGTTCCCTGTTTTTAGGCAATTTTGATTGGTCTTAGCAGAAGTCTGTCTTAAAATGTTGCAGCTCGGGCGCCAGCATGTGCGTCTGTCCAGCCTTTACTACAACTCCCCTTGCCATTTTTCTTCTGGGTTTAGGGAAGAGGGTAACTTTCAAACCCTATCCAGGATCAGTGTCTACGGCGAGCTTAACTATATGGCTGAACCCATAACGGGGAGAGGAAGTCAGAGTCGCCCTCTGGCTGTGCAGTTCAGAACCAAAGTCTTCAGCCTTTATTGGTGTTATGTAAAGTCTCAACACGTGTACAGAGGATCCGTTTCACAAGACAACAGTCACACGTTTGTGTTAAAAACAAACCTGTTTCATTGGCTTTAATTATGGTGTATTTGTGCTATTGAGTTAAATATGTTCTGGTGAGCTTGACCCCTGTTCTGATAAAGCTCTTGTGACAAAAAATGAATTATGTATTTTTTGTCATTGGGAAAAGTGCAGAGGTTAATTGTGTTATTTCATAGTCTAACACTTCATCAATGTGAAAATGATTTTAATAATTTGGAGGAAAGCAGTTGAGAATAACCCTAACATTGGAATTGATATACATATATAGGAAGAGATAGATATAGAGAAATATTGTTAATGTCAAAATGTTATTAGGATAAAGCACGCCAGATGGCGCCGTTTAACCATTGCAGAAGACAAGTGTTGCCATAGATCAGTCTGGAGGCCTGCATATGTGATCCAAACTGTGTTATTTCATCAAAGCCACAAACTTTTAGGATATGGGCTCAATGGTTTTGAGGAGCATAGGCACTGTACCGTACTGTAATGTACTGCACTCAACATCGCCAAGGGTCATGGTGTCCTTAGGGTCCCTGGGAATCAATAGAAGAAACAGCCTATACATATATATACATATTGTAATGTATTCCCTTTGTCTAACCTTGTCATTCAGTCATTTATTCAGCCATTCATTCAATTACCCTGTGCAACCTACCACATAGAAATAAAATATAATAGATATAACAATGAGCTTTTTTTCTTTTCTTTTAACCACATAGTGTCATCTCACAGATTAAGTTGGTGTAACTGGGAAATATACTTAATTTAACCTTCCAGGTCCTGTATTACCTAATTTCATCCAATTTTATTTGAAGTTATGTGTGTGTTGCTAATGAAAGTTATGAAGGATTTCAAGATCATAAGACCATAACACAGGATGTTTTTTGAAGAACCTCGTGAAAACAGCATGATGTGCCTCTTTGTTGAAGCCTACTTATCTGTAAAGCAAACAAAGCATTAGTCATATGGCTGCTCCAGAGAGTTAGAATGATATTTGCCTTCAGGATATAAACTATATGGAAAGTGTTTTATCAAATTGAACATTCAGCTCAAAATGAAGCATCTTTCAGGTATGAATTCATGTTATAGTCTTTTCAGGCCTATTGGAGTGGAAGCTATCAATATACACATCAGAAAAAACATGAACTGGACAGTCCCACAATAACCTAATCTGTGATTAAGTTGAGGTTATTTTTCTGTAACTGACCCCAGGTTACTGGCAAGGGAGTAGAGAGTCTTACGATTAGCATGAGCAACTACTGCGTGGGAGTAAAAGAAGACGCAGATTAAATCACTTGTTATTACTAATGGAGATCTAGAAATATCTAGTGTAAAAGTCCCTGATTGGGTAGTTTTGAAACAAATGTACAGCAGCTGTAAGCGCCACTCCTTCCTTTGTGAAATGCTGCCTTCAGGGGCACAGGCAAAAAATCGTAATTACAAGGTATCACGCCCGACTCTAAACATTGCCCAATATATTTGAGAAGAGCAAAATTTTCCACGATCCACAAAATACGTGACGTCATGTAGGGAGAGACAATGAAAGGAGTGAGTTCATCATAAAATAATAATTATACGTTCTGTTATTGCAGCAATACTCAAAGTAAATAAATAACTGTGGTGCGTCTGGTGTATTTTCCTCGTTAATCTCAGGCAAATACAAAATACGTTTTGGCTACACTGTTAATCAGCCAAACATATTTTGCTATGCTTGTTGAGTACTCCTTACATTCAACATATCACTCTGGATGACAACATTACAATCATAAAAGAAAACGATTTTTGTTGGAGGTTGGATGTTGTTGTCATTTCCGGGCGAATGCACTTGAATGAATGTCAAGTCTTCTGTAATGCAATCAACATAACCACCACCGGGTGTTATCCTGCACTCTTTTGACGTGTTTTGTTTCCCTGAAACCAGTGGTTACTAGGGGTAACTGCGGTTTGTGTCAATGTGTCAGTCTGATATGATATGATTGAAACGTGGTCGCATGACAGTTTAGGTAATGTTAAAATCATTAGCCCTGATAGATAGATCCTGAATATTGTCTTATATTGTTGTATTCTATGGCGAGATGCCTTCATTGGAAGTGCATACATAAGTGTTGAAAATAACTCCAGAATTAATCTGTAATATAATATAATATAATATAATATAATATAATATAATATAATATAATATAATATAATATAATATAATATAATATAATATAATATAAAAATAATCAATTACAAGCAAAAGCATACAAAATTACTCAAGTAAGAGTTGTTGGTTTTGTTGTAGTGGCAGTGTATTCGAACCTGTGTTTGAATAAGTGGATTATAGTGAAAAGCAATGACGTTAAAGAAGACAACCATGCACTGAACACATGATAAGTTAAAAAAAGAAAAGAAAGAAGAGACAGACAGAGAGAGACAGAGAGAGAGAGAGAGAGGAGCCTCTGACAGCTGGGCGGAGCTTCCTGAAGGGTGTATCCAATAAATAAAAAAAAAAAAAAACTCTCTGTTCCACAGACCGGCACGAGCAAGTTCTACACATGCGGTAGCGAAACTCTCATTCAAGCTGAGACGTGTTTGAATTCGAAAAGACGGATTTATTCTACATCGAATCTGGCAGTCTTCAATAGCTTTTTTTTAAAATTCCAACGTAAGGCAGCTTTTTTGACAGGGATATATTTCATTAGTTTATTTTTTCATTATCCCGCGCGCGCTAACGATACGGTCTGTGCGCGCTTTAATTAGCTTACTGGCTAGCAAGCACCATTCTTCCCGGGACTGACAACTGCAACGTGTGGTGAGTTTTATAATTTACCCTTTCCATCAGAGTAAGAGTTTCTTGTGGTGTATTCACATAATACCAACTTAACACAAACATCACACGTTAACATAATGCTAATGCTAACGTTAGCTTGAGCAACAAACCATTGTGTTACGTCTTCAACAATAACGATAAGATCTGTTTCTGATGTGATCTGTTTGCTAGGTTGTAACATTATGTTTAAGCAAAGTCTGACACTTTGTTAAGATTAAACATCTTATTTGACCGAGGATAGATAATGGTTGCTGTTAACTTTGGACTGAGTAACATTTGGCACGGAGCAAGGTTAATGGCACAATGAAACCTGTCCTTTAATGTTAACCTAACGTTAGCAGTACTGACCGTCTGTCGAACAGACACTTGGCAGGCCACTGAAATTGGCTCGACACACATGAGTGCCCACCCGGTCATTCAGTGGTACCGCAGCACAGCGCTGGCTTGTGTTCCCTAAACCATGTCACATCCGGTTGCGTAGAAAACCACGTCAAACATAATTAAAACCGCAGATAATAGGCGCTGTAGCTGTTATTGATAGAATTATAACGGGTCTTTACGTCGAGTCGAAACCGGTCCAATTGTTTCTATTCTACAGGCGCGTGAGTTCGTACGAACCGACGGCGCTCGTGTTCAGTGCTGTGTGTTCTATGAATGGATGACGACACGTGCGCACGTAAGAAAAATGATAACGTTTCTTATTGATGAGGCACTCCTTATCACGTAACGGTCTTTGTGGTCACCGATGCTCAAGAAGACGACAGTAAACAATAATAAAGTGAAGCGTCTGGGTTAAATTAGCGGACGTTGGCCTCACATAAACGCCGGTTTCTTCCTGCGACCCATAAAAATGGCTTCCCACTGAGTTTTCAGACAAGGAAGCCACTATAGATTTTCCTCTTGGTCTAAGTGTTTACTAGTGGCTTTTCCACGCTTCTTACGTTGTTTTCTTTGTTGACCCCCTTTGCTTTCCCTGCATTTCCTTTTGAGTTGTCAGTGTCTTTGCTGTATTTTTATGAGTCACCACATGAAAATGGAATGACATAAAACAAAATACACTTTTATTATTAAAGCAAGCCTTTTCTGTCTTTTTGTCTTTTCAGGATGTACCCCTGCTCATCTGCAGTTACAGTTGCACAATGGCTGTCATTTCACTCTGCTTGATAGCTCAGCGCCCAAAGAACAGCAACAGATCTAGTATAATTACAGGATAGCAATAAGCCCACATACCTCTGTTTACCTTAATTGTTTTCTGGTCAGTCCCAGATAAACCTTTTACAAGTTTGCACTGCTTAATCTCAGAAATCCTGTTAAGACAGGTGGACCTGAAGAGAAGTTAATTATTTATTATACCTTGTACCTCTTTATTTTACTAGCTGCTGTCTAGAAATAGCATTATATAAATAAATATTTTTGACAGGCATTCATTCCCTTTAAGATTGTGAAGCAATTCCTAAATAGTCTACAATCATGGTTTCAACAACTGCAACTGCTATAATAGTGGCCACCACAGCAGGGCTGGTGGCCCATACTGCTCTCATAGAGTATATGTGGCTGCTGATTGTTGGCTTCATCATCGCCTTCATCTTAGCCTTTTCCGTGGGTGCCAATGATGTTGCCAACTCATTTGGCACAGCTGTGGGCTCTGGAGTGGTCACCTTGCGACAGGCCTGCATTCTGGCCACCGTGTTTGAGACTCTGGGCTCTGTGCTCCTTGGGGCCAAAGTGAGCGAAACCATCCGTAAGGGTATCATCGACGTGGGCATGTACAATGGCTCTGAGCATGTGTTAATGGCTGGATCTGTCAGTGCTATGTTTGGTGAGTATCTGCAGCTTATCTTGCATGTAATTAAATGTGCAGTCACTGAACCCTGTGAACAGAGTTTGGTGGCACATAGGGCTTGACACTGTTAAGTTCTTGCAACTACAAAAATTTAGATGTTAAACTGTAACTAGTTGTCTAAAGTACTCCTTATTTTCATACAGTTTTTTTTTTTATAAAAAAATGTTATCATTTAATTGAAGAATTTCTTAAATTACATTGCTTGGAAGATTTATTGAATTTTTAAAGTTGTGTTTTGCCTTAGAAGGGGAGGCCCTTGGACTACTGTGAGACTAATGTATTAATGTGTCATTTTTGGTGATTTTAAATCTGAAAAGCTATGTGGAAAAGCTGAGATCAGGTCAACCTGTCGAGTCTAATGTGATCAATTAATTTATTCTCATTAGGTTCTGCTGTGTGGCAGCTGGCCGCCTCCTTCCTTAAGCTCCCCATTTCTGGAACACACTGCATTGTTGGTGCTACTATCGGCTTCTCGCTAGTTGCCAAAGGCCAGCAGGGAGTTAGGTGGTTTGAACTCCTCCGTATTGGTAAGTCTGACACTATAATCAGCTGACCTAGATATGTCCTCATTGTTTGAATTGCATCGCAGGCTATAAAAAATTAATGGCAGTGTGTGACCAGTAATGCAATGTTATCATAATACATTAGTGAGTGTTTTGTCTGTGTTGACCTTACATTATCTAGGTCAACAAGTTAGTGAAGTTATGAATGACAGTTACAGGTTCAGACATGAATCTACAACTTTTCTTTTATATGAAATGTAAATCAAATGTGATTACAGTAGTTCCTTAAGTCTTTGGAATAATGGAATCTCTGGATGGGGAAGGAAAGACATTTGTCAGAACATGTGGGAAATTTTACTTAGAGCTTTGTGAGCTTAGATCTAATTTTGCAATGTCTTTCTTGTTTCTGTATTTCTTGCATTACACTGGTTTTCACATCTGTGTTCCTCTTCAGAAAGCCTAACGCTGATGTAAATCAGACTGTTGACCCCTTTTTTTTCTCTTTTCCTTTTTTTTTTCCTTTTTTTAATAGAAAACCGCAAAAATGGATCACAAAAACAATAAAATGTTAATATTATTCAGTTATGGAGAGGATTTGAAATTTGACATTGAGATCACAGGAAGGACCCTTGGTAATTGAACAGTTAAATGACTGTCCACAGTACAAGTAGCTATGTTGCCAAATTCTTCTGCTCTGTAGCCAAAGACTGTCCACTTTTATTATTGCTATTTTATAGTTAAAATTGACAAATGGCATAGCCTGAGATACAAGCTGAGTTGAGGTTTCCTGTTTAAACAACACCTGAAAGAATTGTTTTAACAAGTATTGCATTTCCTACAGGGGAAAAAACAGTATTGCATTTCCTAGAAGATTAGAGTAGAGTAGAAGGAACTGTTTCAGGGGTTTTATGAAAAGTTTATCACTTGTCTCTTTAGCTTTGAGTGAGAATAATAGTTGTAAACTGGGATTGGCTTTGTTTGACTGATGTATATAATTTCAAGAATTAAAAGCCATAGCCAGGAGGTTTTGTTTCATTTATTTGACAGAGTTGTCATATATTGCGTGTCCACTGAATGTCAATGCTCTTATTTCTTTAATTTGCAGTTGCTTCCTGGTTCCTGAGTCCCCTTTTGTCTGGAATAATGTCAGGCATTGTTTTTTACTTTGTGCGCATGTTCATCTTACACAAGGTAAGCTGGGTGTTATCAACTTGTAGATAGTATACAGTATGTATTTGCTTGAGTAAAACGAGAACTGTTTAGGTCAGTTTCAACACTGTACTAGTTCACGCTCAAAATGACTATGAGGAAATGTTTGTTACATGGCAATAATAAAGCTACTGTTCTGATGCAGTCCCTTATCTGCCTCATACACCGAGGTTCAAATTACCATCATACTGTTGTTATGTCATTAACTGTAACCTGACAGCAAAATGGTGCAGTGTTGTTCAGTGGGTGTAATTTTTATTTCTGACTATTTTGTTCCGGTAGAAAGACCCCGTGCCTAATGGACTGAAGGCCCTGCCTGTCTTCTATGCCGTGACCATGGGAATCAACCTGTTCTCCATCATGTTCACTGGAGCTCCGAGTGAGTATCATTGTCTCAGTCATTTTGCTCTGCATGCCTGCCTGCAGCCACAGCTTAAAATAAATTGCTCCCTCAGACAGCCGGATGCCCACACATATTCCAGACTGAACCAGGCTGTGTTTACCATTTTCACAGAGGCTGTGTTTATTTTAACATGTTTTTTTGGGGCTCTCTTGCTTGTGGTTCTACAGTATGTGGGTCATAGCTGGAATAAAGTTTTAGAGCGGAGCACAACAGGGAGATGGAAATTAGATTTCACCTAACTCTTGACATCACTGTCTGTGTCCTTCAGACATGGAGGAGGAAAAGGGAAGTAAGGAGGGTGTTTTGAAATGGTCATAGTTGTCTGCTGCCTGTAGTTGTACTGCTGCTCAGAATTAGTATAGTGATGCTCTGAATACTTGTGACTACTGATTACTCCTCCAGAAACTCTTTATTAAATGAGCAACTTTTGCTCCTTTGTTTTTTTTCTCTCTACAGGGCCTAACAGTTCAAGCTGGCCTGGGCCATTAAATGGCTGCTACAGGCCAGAGTTTGACCAGATATGGTGCGCTGATGTGTGCATGCACATCACCACACTCACTGAGAGGAGATCACTTGCAGTTCCAGCATAGCCCATAACCCTGCTTAGTCAGGCAGATTCTGTACAGTTGTGTGAAGTCCCTCACACCTCAACACACTGTACATGAGGACCTGTACTTGGGTACCTCAGAGAAAAAAGGTGCGAGATTGCATTTTTAGACAGCAACAAACCCACTGCATCTTCTGTTAAGTTTGGTGTTGATTTTGGTTGATATTTTTATATTCACACGGACATCATAACATCTATATATTCTATAAACTGTAGATGTAGACAAATTGCCACCACACACAGGCTCATTGTTAAAGCCTCAAGACTGAAGTGAAGCCAGTTGAACATTGGGACAATCCTCATCAATTCCTGCATATCAGTTTCCCAACACTAAGCAATGCAGCCGATTCATATCATTGTTTGATTTTATAAAAAAAAAAAAAAAAGAAGAATGGTATGTTGCTCTCAAAGTCAGACATCCCATGTTTATTTTGTGGCTTAGTTTTGGATAGTATACTACTCTGGCACCCAGGACAATAACAGCTCATTGCTGCTGCCCATTGCTGATATATGCGCTCTAATGCAGTCGCAGTATCTGCAGCCAACTAAGTACAGTATGTTTGGTTTCCTGTGATAGGACTCAGCATTCCCCTGATCTACACCCTATCATAATGGTGCGACTGGACACCAGGCATCCCACAGCACATTCCAATACTCAATATATAGACCAGTGCCAGAGACCTCAAGTCGGCATGTGCAAAAATTTGGGCCAGAGAATTTGAGGGTCAGCTGTCGATCCTTTACAGATGAGGCTTAGTGTGACTTGGGTTCTTGACACCTTTTTATAAATCACTCAGCTGCTGCCACTACACTGCAGCTCCCGTCATTGTAAAGTGAAAATCTACCCAGAAAAAAAAAAATCTAATTATTACCCTCTTAAAATGTTCGTCACCTGGATATAAAGACTTATGGCTTCCTATATCAGTCAACTCTTCTAGGCATCTCAGAGATACTAGAAGCTGTTTATATATCTGCTGCCTTCAGAGAAGTATCACAAAGGCTGCTTCATGTCCACATCGAAACCCTTCTTTTTGTTTTGCATACCAGTGTTTGTTTCACAGGGCTGAGTGTCATAGCGACCGTACGTTTTGACCCACACCATTGATTAAACTTCAATGCGTTTAGCTGGATAAGAATTTTCTGCCTGGGTTACCCTCTTAAAAAAAAAAAAAAAAAAAAAAAAACACTCTGTGGCATTGGTTGCTGGGGACGCCAAACATTCAGCAACATAAGAGATACTCACATCATAGTATACGTGCCTTATTCTAACCTGAACTGTGGTCCTGAAACAAAATTGTAGGTGTATTCAGAGGATGCTTTTGTCAACTGTGGTATAGATACATACTTACTGTTAGGAGTGAATGTTGTGTGAATACTTGTCACTTAATCCCAATACTCTTGCTAAGTGCTAAACTGAGTTCTTGACAAAAGTGAGTCAAAGTGGCAGTTTATGACTCACTTGGCAAAAAACTCCCTGGTTATCCTGTCATTGTAATTGAGGTTGGTGGTGAGCTGCACATATAGTACTGGGTAAAAAACATGTTATTGTATAATGTAGGCCATGGGATACAGAGGTTTCAGGGAGAGGTTTGGAATGCAGCCATGGTTAAATTCCATTTCCTGTGCAGTCCCATTCATCCCACTGCATGGCTGTGGTATAAACCCACTCTTTGTTTGGGAGTGTTTATCAGACCGCTAGACCTAGGCCAGCTTTTAAATCCTTTCTTTTATATTTTGTAAGAAGTTCCCTACAAACAAGTCATAGTGACAAAGAGTTTCCATGTGAATGCTGTTAGGCCCCTTTTGTCATGTTAAGGCTTGTGTCCTGTTTTACTGAGTTCCATGAAGTGTACTGTACATACAAGCAGTGTCCAACTGCACAACACCTGTCTCTGGATGTCTTACTATATGTGAGCCAAAGAAGACAGGAGGTTCAGCTGTTACAGAGGCACCTTCCGTTTTTTTTTTTTTTTTTTTTTTCCTCCTCTATGCCTCCCCTGTCCTGAAGGGAGTGAGCTTCCATTGCGTAACTAAATAAACATCAGTTAGGTGCTCTGCAGTCTCATGCTGCAGCGTGACTCAGTGGAGAGAGTGCATTGTGGACTCTGCCCTCAAATGAACACATCAGTTGAGACACTTATTGCGTAGGCTTGGCCCTCATTTCCTTTTGTTTATCATAAACTTCCCAAACAGTCCTAAGCCACTGGAAGTGTTTTTGGTTGTTTTTGTTTGTTTTTAGATTATGCATGGCCAAGGTCACCTCACCGCAGGTGTTGCTGGAATTTTCAGCAGCTCCCGTTTTTGTTTTCTCCTAACCACAATGCTTAATTGTATCATCTCTGTATGACAAAGATGACCACTTCCCCAGGGAAATTTAAATATTTGCTTTTTGCCAGCATGTTCTGCATTATATCTACCTCTGCTGCACCAGCTTTGCTGCAGTCTTGGCAAGAGGTGACTTTATTGCTACAGCAAACAACTCAAGTGACTGTGGCCTTTTAAGGAACTCATTGTCTTTGTGCAGTTGTTAGCCGGGCACTTGGGGGTCATGGGGACATTTTTTGCTCTTTCACCTATTAAGTGTTACGTAACTGTTCACATCTAGGGATACATATGCTTTCCTTATTTAACTTGGACGTGGCACAATGAGGCAATACTGTCGGCCAAAAGATGGCACACATGGTCCAGTGTCACTGGAGTTATTGTCTTGTAGTTTATTTTCATGTTTTAAATGAGAATACAAGTTCCACCTGAAAAATCATTGTCCTAATGTGACATCATGTTGACTTGTAAAAAGTATCTTGCCCTATATTTTTAGTTTTTATAAAACTGCTCATTGTAATTTTTGGTACATCAGTCTTAATGCAATGGGACTTTATGTGTTGTCCACTAAGAAAGGTAGCACCTGCTGCCTTGTTTTTTTAAAAATGCCTTTCTGTTTGCCTCTGTGTGTTTGTTTCTGTCCGTGGCACCTGGTGGTCCTTCAGTGCTGGGATTTGACAAGGTCCCTTGGTGGGGCATCCTGCTCATCTCACTGGGCTGTTCTGTGCTGACTGCTATTGTGGTCTGGTTTATTGTCTGCCCTCGCCTCAAGAAGAAGATTGAACGTAAGTCATACCAAAGTTTATTTTTTTTGTTTGTTTTTTTTTTTTTTTTTTTTAATTTTTTTATTTTTGGCGACCTGATAACTCAGTTTTAAAATCCCAGTGGTCACCAGTTTCTGCTGACCACTGAAATGTTGGGTTTCCTCTCTTAAGCCACTGGACAAGTGAGGGATTTAGCACTGCACATGTAACCTAAACCTATTCACACTGAGGGCTCGTATTAATCCAGCAAATGGGGCTCAGGGATATTTTGTCATAATGGAGTCACTCTAATGAAAAATATTGTCATCCGTTTTTGTCCTATAATCCTGGATTAAAGTAAAAAGCCAAGAGTCCTCTGCATTTACACACCAATAGTGTGGTTCTGGTGTTGAAGAGGAAGACAATTCAGTTTTTAGAATTTATTGTAGCTTCCTCTACTGTTAACAATACTGTTTTATCACTTTTATATTTAGTCGTCTCTTAAAGGTTTAGTCTGGCTTTCTTTGTTATTTCATGCATAAAGAAAATAATTACAGAATAGCTTTATCTGACACAACACAGGCCCACAAATGTAGTTTTGTAGAACTTTTTTTTACAAAATCTATGTATGGAAAACTCAATAAAACTGTCTTTCAGTTTTCTCTACTTGTAGCCATTTTGAGCCATGTTTATATTGTCAGAGAGACAGCTCTAACTCTGCCAGATGTAAGAATACATAACATATTCTTTACATTGTATTGACTTTACCTGTCGTGTTGTCTTTAAAGTAACAAGAGAGACGGCCGGTGTATATGCCCAAGCATGATCTGTCTAGATCAGCTCTATCCCATAGACAAGCAGCCTAATTGGGTCGTAGTGATCCACTAATTGGTCTTTACCTCCTTGACTAAAATAAGAATAGGTTGACTTAAGGTTTTGACATGGCATTTGCTGTGCATTCATGGGGAGAAGCTTGAGCTCCAGCCTTGACCACTTTGGATGATGCAATGTGACCAACTGAGTCAGACTACTCCTATGATTATCACTGAAAATATTGGAACTGAGTATCTGATTCACTTTAAAACCACAAACAAATGTCATGTGAGCCACAGGGTATGTTGACTCTTATCGTCTTTCATAAGTTAATCTGCTAGTGGTAGTGTAAATATGTTCGTTGTAAGGTCATAATCCATTTATCTGATCCTGCGAACACAGGCGCTCGCTTTTGAACACGGATAACGTTGCATTTTTAGGACAAAGGTTTTTCTGACTCTGGTTATGCAATTCTTACAACTCCCCACAGTTTAAATTGAAAGGAAACACATGTGCTGTGCTAGTATTTCTCTGCTGTAATGTGTGTATGTTTGGACACGACCCAAGCAATATCTCACTCCAACTCCTCCCCTACTAGGAGATATCAAGTCTTCCAGCCCCTCTGAGAGCCCCCTGATGGAGAAGAGGGAGCTAAGAGAGGCCCACTGTCCAATCCTGAAACAGACTGCAAAGGACACATCTATGCCTACCACCCCAGCTGTCAGTCAAAACCTCGCTGCTCAGCCCCAGGCTCCTGCTGAGGAGCGCAGGGTGGCGTTTGACATCGGAGATTCTGACGATGTTGAAAATAATAAGGAACGCAAGGTGGCATTTGATATTGGAGATTCTGATGACAGCGAGTACAGCAATGCAAATGGGGGTAAGTAAGCCAAGAAACAACATTGTCAATACTTTTATGTGTAATTAAAGTTATGTAGCTTAATGGTATTTAATGTAACTCCTCCAATGAAATGACACATGAAATTGAAATTGATTCTGAACTGAAGGCTTTAATTTTTTTTTTTCTACCCCTTTCTGCAGCCCCTAAACAGGTTCAATCAAACAGTCAGGTCCAGGTCCACAACCAGCAGGCTCAGCACAGCAATGGTTCCACAACAGCTTCCAATCAGGTCCAGTTCAATAATCAGGTTCAGTTCAACAATAGGCCAGCACAGATGCCAAGCAACGGTTACAGCCAGTACCACACGGTCCACAAGGACTCCGGACTCTACAAGGACCTACTGCACAAGCTCCACCTGGCCAAGGTTGGTGACTGCATGGGTGAGGGGGGCGACAGACCTATCCGGCGCAACAACAGCTACACCTCCTACACCATGGCCATCATTGGCATGCATGGAGACTTCAAGCATAAAGAAGGTGAATTCCGTGCTAGCGAGGATGGCGACAAGGGCGCAGGGTCTGGCAGTCAGGAAAGGAAGCGTGTGCGTATGGACAGTTATACCAGCTACTGCAACGCTGTGGCAGAGCACACGACTCCTGAGGGGCTGGGAGAGGGAGAGGTGACACTAGAAATGGGGAAAGAGGATGCAGGTAGCAGCCAAAGCTCTTTGGATGAAGATGGGCTTGAGTCGGACAAACCAGAAGTCTCAACTCTCTTCCAGTTCCTCCAAATTCTCACTGCCTGTTTTGGATCCTTCGCTCATGGTGGAAACGACGTCAGGTATGCGGGCTCCTTTTTGAAGGTCTTGTTATCAGTATTCAGGCTGATAGCTGACACTTCAGTTTCTCTGACATGTTGTTTTCACTTATAAAAATATTGCTCAACTAAAAGTCAGAATTTTTGGTCACTGTTGAAATGACCTCATTCTTTCCTCTGCAGTAATGCCATTGGACCGTTGGTAGCACTGTGGCTGGTTTACACAACAAGCAGCGTGACTTCAAATGAACCTACACCCATTTGGCTCCTGTTGTATGGTGGCGTGGGCATCTGTGCTGGACTCTGGGTGTGGGGCCGCCGAGTGATTCAGACCATGGGCAGGGACCTTACGCCTATCACCCCCTCAAGGTACAGATACCACAGACAGTGCTGCTCCTGTTTCTCCTTAGTCATTAAACCACATCCTCCGCAGACATTACTAGTCTTTCAATTTAGCAGGCAAGCTCAGAGACGTAAGTGTTTTTTTGTTTTGTTTTTGTTTTTTTCTTTCCCTGCAGTGGTTTCAGCATTGAACTGGCCTCAGCCCTGACTGTCGTGGTAGCCTCTAACATTGGCTTGCCTGTTTCCACCACCCACTGCAAGGTAAGCTGGTCAAACACTGTGGTCTTGGAGGCATACTGAGACATGGGGGAAGAGACTATCTAGTGTGAGGGAGGCTATAGTAAACAGTCTGGTAGACAGTCGAAATGTGGAGCAACTTTCTTCTTATTACAGACAAATCATTTGAAGACATAAACTTACAGAAGATAATGGAATTTTATCTGACAAATGCTGTTTCCAGGTGGGCTCTGTGGTTGCAGTAGGATGGCTGCGTTCAAGGAAGGCAGTAGACTGGCGTCTGTTCAGAAACATCTTCATGGCGTGGTTTGTGACCGTGCCCATCTCTGGTCTGATCAGTGCTGCCATAATGGCCATCTTCATCTATGGCATCCTGTGAGCATTCAGCTACACCCCAAGCAGGGGAGGAGAAAGAAAGCGCTCCAGTGCGCACCGGGAGAAAAAGGAGTAAAGTTGGAAGGCCAAAATATATCGCTTACCTCAAGCCAACAACTTCAGAAGAAAAAGGAAAAAAAATAGAAATGTTGACAGGACTTGTGATATGGGCCTGTGGTTCTTGGCTGCATCATTTTCAACCTAGAATTTGCTGTTCGTTCCATCTGGGCCACATCACTTCCAGTGGGAAGCTTGCATTTCTTTGTTCTGACTTGCTTTTTCATTTCACATCATTCTGTAAAGATTTAATCAAAAATCATTGACTGATTTTTTTTTTTTTGTTCTAATACTCATTCTTACATTTTTTTTTACTTTGAAATTATGTATATACAACCATGCTATTTTTAATTTTGTTTTACACGTTAGAAAGAAATGAACAATTAAAATGCAGTATTAGCCTTTTGCAGATGTAACTCCAGTCATAACACATGCTGAAAGTAATGTAGATGAAAAAGCAGTATTTTTAGGTGAAAAATGAGGTTATTGGTGTGTATGTGTGTTTTCCCCAATTCCAAGTATCTATTATTAATGAATTCACATTTTATATCTGGCTTGGTTTTATCCCCTAATTTAGACATTTTTTTTCCACTGTTATAGAACAAAATTGACTTTCAGCTAACTGTAAATTTCTAGAGGCTGGTGAACACATTTTCTACCATACTGAGGAATTAATTCAGTCACGTTCACAGCACTGCAGTTTGTCTTTATGACACACAATCATCTGAATAATTTACTGTGGTAGAAGCACTAATTGTAAACACTGGATGACCACCTGCAAAATGATATGAGAAATACTGTATCATTAGCATAAAAAGTCAGCACACTTCTGGTAGGAAATGACAACGCCCTAATCGTTAAAGTTAATGGATAATGTGTTATCCAGTTCTTTAATTAGAATCTCCTGAGGCTCTACATTCTTGATCAGTGTAGAATGAACTGCCTGAAATATCTTGGTTACTTGAATTTGAGAATTGTAACAGCAGAATGTCAACTAATGCAAAAACGCACTCTCAGACAAGACCTTAAGTCTCCTGTTCAAACTTGATTGCGTCATCAATGGTTAAATGCTTTAGTCCTGCTTCAGCCTTGTTTTTCTAGTTCACCTTGTGTCAGCCACTTCTCAGTTTGGTTTTTCTGGAATGGCACCTGTCCTAGACAGCTGGGTTGCTCTAGTGTTCCTCTTTCTCCCTCAGCCTGATAAGCTGAATTAAAGGTTTTAAGTGAGGAGGAACAGGAACTTAAAAACTAGAAGTTATCTAACTGGGTGGTTTGGTGTTGAGTTGATCTGGTCTTTCTGTTTGAACAAGGGCGCACATACGTGGCATGCCACCAGTGTGTGGTCTTTTGGCTGCAGTACTAAATGCATTTCAGACCTATAGATGCTGTAGTTGCCTTAATTGTTTTATTTTCCCTTAGCTACCAAAGAAGAGTTGTTTTGTTCTTTTCTTTTTTTTTAATGCACATCAACATACTATGATCCACATATGTGGATGAATAAAACAAAAACAAATTAAAAATAAAAATGGGAAATACTGCTGTTGAACTTTTATTTCATAATGATTTGAAATAGAGGAAAGCTTCAGTGTATATAAATAAAATACTATGGGAATGTATAGGAACTGTTTCCTTTGGTAAAATATGTTGTCATAGTAAAACACCCAAGTATTTTGTCATGGTGTGTATATATAAAAGAAGACACACAGGTTATACAGATAGGTGGGATAGTTCCCTTTTTATTGACAGTAAATTCAGCGCAGCTCAGGCACCGGGTGATGAGTGAGCGCTGGGATCCGCATGTTTCTGCGCTTTCTCACTCCAGTACATCTGTGACGCAGGGACAGACAGAGAGGATTCCTTTACGCTAGCTTTACATTGCAAACACGCCACAATTCAGTAGTTTTCCAGGGCTCTCAAAGCGAGTATATGAATCACATCTTTCCTAGTTTTTTCTAATATGACTCACTCCCCCTGTCCTTGTACTGATGAATGATGACTGCACCAATGTGCAGTTTTACTGCTGTAAAGCACAACGCAAGGCCTGCTCTACCCCAAAGGATTAGGATTTACTACTACAGGTTGAATTTCTCTTTTACACCAGTGCATGAAGGCTTTCCTTCTCAAGAATGTATTTCTAACATGAAGAATGATGCAGATAACCTTTATCACTATATCCACAACCTTGGATCAAAAGAATTCAATCAATTTTAAAACAATCCTTTCAGCATCTTTTAGGACAGGGGCGCTGCATCCTTGGGCTTAAAATAACCAGAAGCCGATGATACAGTATAAATCAAGCACAATAAGCACCTGGGGACAGACGTCTCAGAGTGCCCTGGATTCTTGTCCTAGATTTACTCACATGCAAGAAGGACTGTGTTCAAACAAACAATCCTCGCATCTGATTTTTGAGGTCAAGCTGTAAACCGATTCTGTGGTGATTTGAACATCTCCAGTCCAACTTTGTTTTTGACTTTATAAATCAAAACTAAAAATATTAGTTCGTTTACAAGCTGGCAGATTGTAAATTCGTAAATGTTTTGGAGGCATTTTACTATTTACTTGATTTAGAAGCCAGACTATAAAGGTTTTGACACTATTAAAATCTAGTTGTGACTGGCTGTGACTGGCTCTGTTTTTCACTATCCAGTGGATTGCATAACCTACAATTTAACTTTCATTGGGTTGCTCAAAACAGTTCACCACATCTTGCCTCAGCAGGTACTTTTGGGTTGGCCTTAAAAAAAATGTTAGCCATCGTCTGGATGATACTAGTAAACAGATAAGGATACATTTGGCCTTATATGTGGATTTTTATGATAAATCGCTCCTGATATGTGTGTAACTTTTACAGGTTTTCACCTTGTTCCTTGGTTGAATCCTGACTGACTTCATCTGCAGAGGAGAAATGAGAAAATGGGGGATTACAACAGGTAGTTACAGTGTGGGATCCATAATATAGTGAGTTTTCAGGGGCCATTTTACTTCATCTTACCCAAACTGCTCACAGTCTCTGTAACTGCTTCATGGTGCTCTGGGAATAAATTAAAATTAAGTTTGATGTGAAGCAACTTTTACATTTGGCCAGACTGCTGTGTACCTTCTGTGTTTATTTAACTCTAAATGTTCTTAAAAAACTCATAAAACTCATAAAATATCAACTAAAAGCCTTAAATATGACTTGTAGTTCATGAATATGTGGAAAATTGCATTTTTCGAAAAGAAAAATTCACAATTATAGGTTACTGAATAATTCCAAGCTCATACTGTTGTGTTTTACATGTGTTTGTTTTACTAATAACTGCCAGTGTAGATTTATAACACTTACCCCGCCTCTGCCTCCCTGTCAAAAATAAAAAAGACCAGCTGAAATTTAAGCTTGAATATGCTGAAAATAGGTTCATGTCACAGTCTCACCATCTGCTTCCTCAGAGGACTCAGACTCGGATTCTGTGGTAAAAGGGAGAGGGAGGTCAGTCACAAAAGTGTGATATGTAACATGTCAGTGTACTGTGAGGCGCAGTCCTTCAATCCAGTGCTTCTCTGAACCGTCCTTTGTTGCCATCTATAGGCTGATATTTGAACCGTTAAACCTCTTACCCTCATGAGCTGCAGTGTCAGAGTTGCCGCCTCCCTCTGCTGAAAGAGGATTTCACAGTTATGCAATGTTTAATGTCAGGTAAAGAAAGATCATGTGATGTCTGTTAAAGCCAGCCAGATGTGTTTACACACCTGTCTTGTCACCCTCGGCTTCGATGTGCTCCTCCTCTGTTGAAAACATTTTAACAGGTGATTCTGACTATTAACACGCAATCAATATGTGTTCAGGCATTGATCATGTGATTAAGTATTACTCACCAGATTCATCCTTAACAGCCTCTGTAAGTGAAAGATTTGATAAATTGCATTAGCAACTGAACCGAGATCAGCCTTTATTTGTTCTGAATGAAGTCAAAGGTCACATAGTCCCTCTCACCAAGGTAGTGGGTCTCCTCATTCTGTTCCTCTGTAACTTAACAGGGAAAGGTGTAAAGTGATTATTGATGAAACAGAAAATTATTTTACATACGTACTTAATACAATGGATTAAAAGGTATAAAAGCTCAGGAAGTTATTTTGATTTATGGTAATCGCCCTGGGCTTCGGTCTCTGTGTTACAAACCTACCATTCATCTGAGCGGCCTCATTCTTTTGAGCGGCCTCGAACTCCATCTGATCTGAAACGGCAAAAAAAAAAGGTTCAGTGTAACTATGAAAGTGAAGAAATGGAGTGTTACAGATAGATATATGAATGAATTAAGAAACATACAACTAAATACAACTGAATAAGAAGTTAAATTCACAAAGAAGGTGGCTTTACCAAACTTGATTCAGTCGCCACTCTTGCAGTCAGATGAATTAACACACACAGACTTTAACAAAAAACATAATACAATACATTAAAGTCTGCTAGAATCTCAATTGGACCAATGCACTGTACCTATTTTCTGCAGTTCAGTTAGCCCATCTGCGTGAAAAAACACAACGTGTGAATCGAATTTCAGCAGTTTTGAGGCGTGTAAGTATCATCGGCCTTACATAAGTATTTTAATTGTTGAATCTCACCGTATTGAGCAACTTTTTCCTCTTTCTCTGCAGATTCCAGAGAGGCTGAGAAAGCTAAAAGTCGTCATGAGTACATCGATCAGCCTTCAGATACACACATTACTGAAAATCTAAAGTAATTTCTCTGTAAATAAGCATTAATTGGTCTTCTGTGGAGGAACAGTCGCACACATTATCAATCATTAGCTGATTCTCTTGAAAATCATGAACAAAACTTTTTATTCTTCTTACCGGTGTGAAATGCTGCCACGGCGAGGAAAACAAACACTGGCACTATAAATCTCATCTTGACTGTTGGTCTGTTGGTTGAGGAAGATTTTGGGTGTCACTCCAAACTGTGTGTTGTGTTGTTGTCATTTCACTGCCTCTTATATCTTCAGTCACATCACATGCTTTGCATGGACAGGCGGCTCTGGTACCATTGTCCCTCCCTACCTGAGAGGACAGCTGCGTGGCACATCACCACACAGACGTATCCTTATTCATGCTGTCAATGCCACCCATTGTTGGCTCCTCAGTCACATGAGCCTTTATTTGGGATGCTACTGTGACTGATGAAAAAAAAAAAACGGGGGTCCTTGCAACTGAGCTGAAAACAATGTTAATTTCCTTTTGGGATTGGAAACAGTGATTTCACCGCACACCCATGGCTTATGAATGATGGGTCACAATGTGGCTCAGGGAGACAATTCCTCAATTTATCATGCAATCATGCAGATGAAAGAGATCCTGATTTCTCAGCCCTGAATCTGTCACAAGGGACATATTCAGCAACATCTGAATGTTAGATGATAGTATGAAATTAAATTGTGAAATGGGACAGAAAGAAAAACAAGAGAACAAGTTGGATAAAAGATTCTACTATAAAGACAAATAATAAAACTCACTTCATCTATAAAGCAAGTTTGCAAAAGTGTGATCTATATGAGAAATGATTTAAACATAATTTAATTTGGCTAATTAAGCTCTGAAGCAAAATATCAAATACAAAGCAGACAATGTCTCACCACTTTATTGTGATTGTAAACACTTTCAAAACATACAGGGGTTTCAGTATTGTTTGTAATCAAATTAATTTGTAAATAAAAGGATCATTTTATTTGTCCAGAACAATCCAGTCTAAATACTGCACATTGGTGGGGTTCTTTGGCATTTGGACTTCAGTATAAAACAGAAGCTTTTCTATCAATTAAAGTGCACAATTAATATTCTGGCAACAGTGTGTCTTGACTCATACTCAAAACTTCTTTCAAACATCTAGAAAAATACACCTCTAAAAGTGCTTAAGAAACAATCAGCAAACTCTAGCGGTCTTCCCAAAGTAGTTAAAGAACATGAAAGTGGTCCAGGAAGGTACAGTGTCTTTAAGCGACATGACATCAGATAAATCCCAGGTACTGAATACGCCTCCATTTGTTACAAAATACAAAATACAGAAATGCGTCAGCCTCGCTGCAGTTTGGTCCTGGTGGTCTGAGTCTGATGGCAATTTTCACGTCATTAAAAATGACACAGGAAACCCCTAAGGACAATTGATTTCTAAAATCATTGGGAGACTTATCATCTACTAAACACATAAGCTAATTACTTCAATAGCTTAAGGCACCACAGTAGTTTAAATGGTCAGTGTGATTAGACTCTTTCCAATTACGGCACATTATATCAACAGTCTATTTAAATGCTAAGAAAATACATTAATTTGTTAATACTCCTTTATAACATCCATATCTTCCAATTTACAAAGAAAACGTCTTGGTGGCACAACTCTCTTACTGACAGCTGCCTGTACTCACTATCAACACATACAGCAGTGTGCTGAGGAGGTAGAGAGACTGAGAAAATCATTGGAAGACACATGAATCCATCAATAACGGGACATCGTCATATTAGTCAACACTATGCAAGAATTTGGCTAAAGGGTGACAATGGTTGGTCTGTGATTTGTTAGATGTACCGTGTTTAAAACAGAGGAAATGCACTTTAAAAAAAAAAAAAAAAGTTTTAAAATTTCTTCAAGATACTCTTACATATAAAGGAACAGTCATACGTCTACCCTGCAGTGCAGCGTGGTTCACAGTGAATACAAAATTCAGCACAATACAATGTAGTCCCACCTGTTATTGTGATTTGTGCTGCTGTTGCTGGTGACAGAGCGATGAACTGTGGCTACTGTTGGAGTGATTAAAAGATTTCCTGTTTATTACAACATTGGTCTTTTTTTTTTTTCTTAGTTTTGGCCAACACTAATAATAACTTTGTACTCACCAAGTTAACTGCTGAGATCTTAGAAAGGAGACACTTTGCTTTAAAGGCTTCTTCAGATAGGGGCAAGAAACATGAGGAGTCAAACAACCAGACAGATTATAAATAAGCACCCAGGTCAACGGTCGAATCATCACCCAAACTGTCAGTGTACATGACAGCCTGGTTCAAGTTTAACCTGCCATATATGAAGTTTGAACAGTTTTCCTGTGGTGCACTCACTCATGGTTTTATCTAGAAAATCAAGTTGGCTTGTTTGAAACTTTTCTGATTGTTATTCCTGCTGGAGTTTGCTCTCCTGTCAGACTTTGTAGCAATGTCACCTAGACCTGCAACTAACGATTATTTTCATTATTGATTTACATGTGGATTATTTGCTCAATTCATTGATTGATCTACAAAAGAGCAACAAACATTTACTATAATGTAAGACAATGACAAGTAGGAAATTTTACCATTTGAGAAGACAAAACCATTGAATATTTGGCATCTTTGCTTAAAAACTGACTTAAACAGTTAACAGTCAATTATCAAAATTAACTTTCTTTCGACTGACTAATCTTTTATTCGACTAATGTTAGTGCTTTAATGTCATGGTGTTCCCAGATCTCAGCAATTACATTGGTGAGTACATCATCTGACTGGTAGAAATTACAGCCCAAACTGCAAAAATAAGACCAACTTGTAACAAACCAGAATATAAGTTTAAAAAGGCAAGAGCACCCGAGATACCTGAAAGAGAGTTGGGATTTGCCCTGACTGGAGAGTTATTACAGTGCAGCAGGCAAGCCCATGAGCATCTGTATGGGTTTATACTGTGCTTGATTGATAGTATTTTATTGCTTTTGGTTCTCATCTCAAATAGTTCTCACTTGTCAGAGCTCCCCTCTTAGTCGGGTGTGAAGGTCCTCCTGGTCGATCTTGCCGTTCTGTCCATGCCAGCGATGGTGTGCCAGCAGGGCCACGTTCCTGGCGGAGATGGAGCTCATCTCCATAGCACTAGCTGCCCACTCCACAGCGTTGAGGTAGTACAGCCGGTTGTGCAGGATGAAGGGAGGGGTCTTACGATGCGGTGGGCAGTACGCGGGATAAGCCAGCCACCGACTCTCAGACACTGAATCCCAGGAGAGGAACATGTTCTGCAGCTGCTCTTGAGACAGCGGCTGTGGAGAGAACACCTTCCAGACTTTGGTTTGGCTGGCGGGGGGCCGTTTGTAACCTGCAGGGATATGCACAGGGTCGAGAGAGGAGAGGCTGTTGATGACAGAGCCCTTAGAGTCAGTGGTGAGGACTTCAGACACAGTGAACTCTGAGGCTGGCTGTGTGGTCCCAAGGTAGGACATGTTCAGCAAGCCGTGGACCAGAGTTGACACCGTCTGGTGGTAGCGCCCGGGGTAGTTAGACGGGATTTGAGGGGAGAAACCTGAGAAGGTGATGTCAGACTTTCCCTGGTGAAGTGGCGTCGCTATTACCACAATGTCATACAGAGAGTGAGCTGAGCCCGATTCCCCAACATAACTGACCTCATAGAAACTGGCTGTGGTGCCTGAAAATGAGAGGTGGAGGGAAGATGAAACGATTGATATTTAAAAAGTGTGAACATACACATGACAAATCCATCGACGAGAGAAAACGACATGTTCTGTACCAAAAGATGTGAACGTCACCTGTCTTGGAAGGCCGAACCTTGACTGCAATGGAAGTCACTCTGGCAGGGATGAGATCACTTTTACTGTGGTACAGCAGTCCTGAGCAGACTCTCTTATTGCCTCCATCCACTGCCCACAAGCCTGAATCTGCTCCTGCTAATGACACGGCCCCTGGAAGGCAAGATATAAATGTTAACTCTATTCTACAAGTTCACAATTTTCAATAAAAACCCTGTACAATACAAACTCTTACACTCTAAAACGTACCCACAAAGCCGTGGATGCGGACACTCTGACCATAGTTGACACGAGTGATGGGTGCAACAATGTCGTTGAGGAAGATCTGTGAAAATCCTTCACCAATCATAGTTTCCTCCAGAGTCTGATTCATCAGGGTAAGAAAATTATCACCACCCATGGCGTGCAAGAGCCTCTCCACATTGGAGAATGAGTAACCATACTGCTGATACTGGTAGATCCTGTGAATGATGGGATTTCCATGATCAGTAAGACATCCTGCAGAACAAGGAACAGCAATTCTGCATCGAAGTGCTTTTATTCCTTACCTCATAAATTTGTCCAAAACACTCTCCACCCACATCTGCATCCGAAGAAAGTTGAACCCGTATTGCCAGAGCATGCGTAAGAAGTTAAGAATGAACCAGTCACTCTCTTCAAATGTGAGCTCCTTTCCATCAAAGATTGCCATTTTAGAGGAGACATCTTTCCTTGCAGGAATACCTGAAAACATAGGCAACATATTGAAATATCCTGGACTGCATGCTGATAATGGTTTCAACTATTCATGTATTTGTTTTGAGTCTGTTTATTTGAGGTTATGTTGACATTACCTAATTTTTCAATGAAGTGCTTCATGTGTAGGTTCAAAGGATGGATCACTGAACCTCCTGTCTCATACTCATACTCCCCGATCTTCACTGTCGCTAGTCGTCCACCAACAGTGCCAGATTCAAACACATCAATCTTCACCCCGGCTCCAAACTCCTGCCTCAGGTAATATGCAGTCGCTGTGCCACCGATGCCTGCTCCGACCACAGCTTTAAAAGGAGCAATGACAGCGGGGTAAACCATCTGTGCAAAAGGCTCAGCTGGAATTGGTCGACTGATGTTATTGCATGAATTAATGTCCACTCCACGCTGTCTGCTTACATCATCATCATCATCATTTTCTGTCAGTTGACTGATCAATTAATCAACTGATTGTTGCAGCTCTAACTCACATATTATCGAGTGGACCATCAGATAGGAATCTAATTTCCACAAATAAATCTTATATTTGGGCAATTTAGGGCTGAAAGTGATGATTATTTTCGGTTAATCATTTAATCTATAAAATGTCAAAAAAATGTGAAAAATGTCCATCCTAGACTCTTAAAGTCCGAGGTGATGTCTTTAAATGTCAAAAGCCAAAGATACTTTGATTCCATGTGATAGAAAAACAGAGAAACTCTTTTCTGTTGATTAATAAATTAATTGCTGCAGCTTGAATGCAATTTATGCAATTTATGATCTCATTTTATGCACTTGAATTGTGTGTTTTGTGTTTTTTTTTTTGTTTTTTTTTACTTGGCTACTTTTTTCAAAGCAACTGTACTCTGGGTGAAGTCACAATGAGGTCTCCCACACAGAATAAAATATGAAATCAACCCTCTACCTCAAATATCCTGGGCAGGATACTGCTCGTCTATCCTCCAGTGAAACCAACTTTAGAGGATAGATGAAATAGACAAGATAACTGCTGTGTTTTTGGGTGCAGCCTGGGATTAAGCTTACCTATCTTTTTGGGCTGGTTCTGCAGCTCTGGGGCTGAAGCTAGACTTCTCCTCCCGGTATGCCAAAGCCCCAGGAACAACAGTGCTCTCAGTGACAGGGTTCGTAGACTCATTGTGGACATCTAGAGCTCAGCACTAAGGAGCATCTGTGCAGGAGAAATAAACATCAACCACGATCAGTTCAGTTAATAAGTTTCTATTACTCTCGGTCAAAGGTTACACTTCCCACTTTCAGCCTCACGCAAGGAATAAGTAGGGGAATGGTGACATAAATAACTGCACAGCTGGGGTCGGCAGTATCATGCCTGTCTAATGTCTTTAACTTCATAAAGAGAAAGTGGTGAGGGTAACAGGGTGGACTCACTATTTCAAAAGCCACTAGAGAGGGCTGCCAGTTGATCCAGAGGTAGTCTTCACAGAGTTATCTTCACCGGGAAACTTCAGTATCACTTTAAAACTCGTTAAAACTCGCCGCTGTGTACTTAAACAGAAAACTGAACTTTTCACAGACGCCACTAACACACCCGAAGTGGAAATAACTTCTGGTTAATAACAATAAACTCGTTTCACTCTTGAATAATGTCGGAGCACCATGAACGTCGCTAAATATTGAGACACATTTCCGGGCATGCTTACATTCGAGTTTCAGAATAAAACCCTCAAACTCTGTTCAGCGTGGGGGTGGAAATATTCTGCTATGTGGTTTGTGCCAGTGGCACAGGAAACATTGCACAGATAGAGGAAGGAATGGATTCCGCCAAACATCAGCAAAATTCTGGATGTAAATGTCCTGCAGTACGTCAAGAAACTGGTACTGAAAAAAGTAACAGTGCATTAACATTTGAAAAATGATGATTAAAATGTTTTATGTCAGTTTGCTGCAGCGGTTGTATTTACTTCTTTTCACTTCAAGAATCGACGAACTGTGTAATTTGCCAAGGGATGTCCAGACGTTTACATAAAATATCATAAGTCTGTGTTGGAGTAATATTAATGTTGGCTGTAAATAAAGGACAATCACGGTATTGTACCTTTTATGAAAACATAAACATACTATAATTAACCTTTCAAAAGATAAAAGTTGTCATTACTGTTGTCAAGAAATTTAAATAGACTATGAAAATAGAGAAGTAAAATTCAGTTAGGTTGATTTTCAAATTGTGTTTTATTTTGAAAGTTCAATTGATCTGTGCAGTTGGAAGCTGGGCGGAAGTGGTCATTTCTCCTCTGTCATTTCACATAAAATATAAATAAATATTGAGAAAAACAGCACACCCGTGTCAGTATAATATATTATTCAGTGTAATGTTTGGATAAAATCGGAAATCTTCTGGGAGTTAATTTTGAAGTCTGACCCAACCGGAAGATGACCTTTTTTTTACTAGAACCGGTTGCGGAAGAAAAACGGAAGTGACGCAATAATCTCTCATCTTGAACCATGCTTGAATGGAGGTGACCTTAGTTATTATCAAATTGTAAAGTAAAGAAAGTAGGCGGCTGCCGTGTACAGAGCAGGTACGTTGCGCCCGTCCGGTCCGGTTTAGATGCTCCTAAACTTTGCTTGAATATTTCCGAAGACTTGAGCGAGCAGGACGAGCAGAGATGGCAGAGGCACATCAGGCACGCGTGCAGAATGTGGTGGAAGAAATGGTCCAAAGCCTGGAGAGACATCACATCCGTAAAATGCAGGTAGGTGTCCTACCTGTGGACACATGAACTGTGCATGTTGCGCTGTGTTTCTACCAGTCTGCCCTCTGCGGCATCTGTATCCATCACATGTCTCATATCTGCTGCTGCAGGGTCGCATGTTCAAGTGCAGTGCAGAATGCTGTGATAGCTCCACAGACTCCATGTCTCAAGTGCATCAGTGCATCGAGAGGTGTCACACTCCGCTGGCCACAGCTCAGGGACTGGTCACTTCAGAGCTGGAGAAGTTTCAGGTGAGAAACATGATATCTGTCTGTCCACTGTCACACTGCATTACCTGTCAACATGAGACTGTGTGGGGTTTTTAAAAGTGGATTTTTTTTTTTTTTTTTTTTAAATAGTTTTTCCTTAGTCAGGCCACATATAACAATGCGATCCTTTCAATAACAATATTATATGTCAGTGTGGCAGGTGGTATAATCACTTTTATCAAATCTGGCACAGACTATTAGCAGATTAATTCAAAATGGGGCATTTCTCTATATATTTGTCTGTATCTATATATCCTACCACCTTCAAGTAAACCAATTAAATAAATTCTTATTGGAATATATGTCATTGGACTTATATAAGATTAAATAATGAGGATGTTAAAACTTCTTTTCAACAATGTGTCCTCCAAGACGATCCTCAGTTTTTGGTAATAATTCAGGACTGTTTAATATCATTTTGATAATGGTTGTCATTGTAATTTAGTGGTGCATATTCATAAATTAATCAAATTCAATCAAAAAAACAACAACAACAACAACTAGAAGGGCACACAGAGAGCACAGACCTCTGCCAATGCCATTGCCAAACAACATTTGCCAGATCTAGGAGTAAAAATTCAAATGCATGCAAGGATTCAGATCTGCCCCAAATTTTAATGGATTCTTCCCTGGTCAATGTCCCACCACTCCATAAAGTGTAGTGCAAATCATTTCAGTACATTCTGTGCAATTCTGCTGACAAATAAACAGACATGGGTGAAAACATAACCTCCTTGGCAGAGGAAACAAGGAGCACGCACACTGAACCTGGGGCTTTTGGGGCCACTGAGTCCAGGGCCAGGGGGCAATTGACAGAAACAATTTAAATGCTGTTGAAACAATAACTTAACAATGATTGTTAGGAAGATAAAATGGCTAATTACATTTATTCCCACTATGTAAATTGTGTTGGTGTATTTCTTCTTATTGGAGTCATTTTCAAAATCAACATTTAAGCAGAGTTTTACTAAAGTGGAATAATTCAATTCAGATTTCTGGAGTTCAATCCAAGATGAACAATGTCCCTGAGGAGAGTTAACATTTAGGCTTGGAGCCAGGAAATCAAAGCAAAAAACAAATGTTAAGTTGGATACAACTGCATTAACAACATCACACATGAGATCATGAAGGTTTCTGAGAAATAAAGTGAGAAAGAAAGGAAAGAACACAACAATACAGTTGTGAGACACAGTACAAAAGCATAACTCCCACATGGAAATCAATACCTTCACCTCATCCTTTTGCTTATGCATTTATGAAAAGCAATATACAAGCCCCACTTGAAGAAATAATTTTTACATCTGATCCAACTTTTTCGAACTGTCAACCATTCCTGAAAAGGAGACAACTTCCAGTTTCTGAGAAGGATGTGTCATCTGGATCCCGTCCATAGCAATTGCAGAAAAACAGATAGGACCTCACTATGTCTTTTAAAATATGAATAAAAAACTTTTACTTTTTAGCCTAGTTTTAACCTAAATGCTTGCCATGCAAATCTCTTAAACATGCCCACTGGGAGTTCTCTCTCCCCATCTTTAGGAAGTCGGAAGTCATGTTTTCTCTCCTCTTTGCCCCCCCTCAGGACCGTCTGACCAGATGCACAATGCACTGCAACGACAAGGCGAAGGATCTATTTGACTCCGGCGCCAAGGAGCAAGCAGTCCGATCGTTGATGGACCGCTGTGTGGGCAGTTGTGTGGACGACCACGTTAACTTGATCCCCAGCATGACCCGAAGACTCAAAGAAAATTTGGACTCTATACAGCAGTGATGAGCGGGGGTGGATGGCTGTGGCCCGTCCAGCAGCGTGGGGTTAGTCAACAGTTTGAAGAATAGAGGGGCTGGAACATCATTAAAGCAAAGCGTAGCATTTTGACAAATTTTAGAGGCTGTGACTCTAAATTTTGGTGTTGTGGAGATTTAAAAATGCTCACTGTGAGATTTATTGTTGTACTGTGTGTAATCTACAAACAGCAACCTTCTTGGAGACTGGGAGCTGAACGTTTTTGGCTTGTTATATCTTGGTTCATCTGCAACAAGATAAATCCAGTGATGCATCAGCTGTCACATTGATGTGTGTGTCAACAAGAAAGTTTACATTTTTAAAACGTTGGTAAATTCAGTACAAATCTGAGTATCACATTATAAAATATACACTTCACAATGCAATCAATGTGATTCAGATGTGCATTTATTTTATGCATTGTTTTGAATGTGCTTTGTATTCAACTCTTCTCAGCCAGTTCCTCGCCATCATCAGCCCCCTCATCTTCATCTTTTTCTTGTAATTTTATTGTGAGTCATCCTGTGATTGTCTCACCTCCCACAATGAGACGTGTTTATATAACTGAATTAAAAGTACTGTAGATGTAACTGGGTTTGGACTGTGTTACTTCCATAACATCAACAACATGAGTTCTTGTAATAATAAACACCAGAGATACAATTATTTTATTTGATACATGTATTTTAAAGACAGCAAGAGAATATTCTCAATTATATACAAATAATGGTGAACACGGTACCAGTATCACAGCATAGCCTGAGAATAAGAGTAAGCAGATGATGAAAAGCTGATCATCTGTTGACAACAGCATACGTTTCTGACATCAGTTAAAAAAAAACAACTGTTAAATCAACTATTAACAGGAGTAAGTGGGATATGAAACTGTGGTAATCTCTGATAGGAGGCTTAATTCTTACTATTGGCCCTTTACATCATATCAATATAGAATAACAAGTGACAGACTTGGAGGCTAGAGTCGTGATAAAAGTGTCTTCTGTAAAGTCATAGAAAGTTCTGTAGAAGCGAGGATAGGTTTTACCATCCGAGGTTTGCAAGGGAAATGACTGGAGTATTATACTCTCTTACTGTAAAGGCCAGAACAGACTCTGGAGAGGAGCCAGCTGAAAACACAAGTTGTACCACCTACACACTGATCTTTGAGCCACTCTCACAGGAGGACACTGCAAAACAGCATTCAATCAGACTTTTTAAATGTTCTTAAAAATACAGATATCCAATATTCTCTAGGCTTCTTACATAATTTAATTCACATCTGGTGGAAATCCCGTCTTCATACTTAATTGTAAGGGAGAGACAGGATTTCTAAATAGAACTAATCCCAAAATCTCCAAGTTTTCATCAAACCTTTTTCATTCCTAACAAATACTGGTGTTTGTTAGGAATGAAAATTCCTAACTGACACAGAGGAGATCAAACTGACTGCAGAGGAAATGTTGTGTAGGAAACTATAGAGAGAAACTAGAATTACTCAGGAAATATAGTCACAACCTCCCCTTCTGTTCCTGAGGTACAGTTTTTTAAATAATGGCCAGAAAAGTGTTTTTGCAGAGCACTATGATGTCACAGTGACGTTGACCTTTGAGTGTTTAGATATAAAACAAATCACTTCACAAATTTCATCCTGTAAAATTCTGTCATAATTATCTAATGAATTGAGTTGTGGCCAAAAATGCATTTTGTGAGGTCACAGTGACCTTTGACCTTTGGCCACCAAATTCTACTCACACCATCCTTGAGCCAAAGTGAATGTTTGTGCCAGAAGTTATTAATTCCAGCTGGGTGTTACTGATATATCATATTCACAAGACTATGAGGTCACCATGTCCTTGACCTTTGACCACCAATTTCTAGTCAGTTCATCTTTGAATCCAATTAAACGTTTGTGCAAAATCTGAAGAAATTTCCTCAAGGCATTACTGAGATATCACATTCACGAGAACGAGGGGATGGATCAACAGTCGTTGTTGCTGGCGAGGAGGCATAAAAACATTTGTAGCAGATGGAAGGTCAATATTCATCAAGTTCATGAGTTTCAAAAGCATAAATACCGAATTAACTGAGCTGCCGTAGTAAAGACTGGTCATGTGATAGCACCACAGCCCATGTGAATGGGCAGTTTTATTGGCAGTTCATAATTGTGTACATATTTTACTTTGCAAAAATAAATCCATACAAATACAAATGAAGTAAAAAATAAATAAATGCCAAATAAAAACACCTTTAACGTTTAACTTGATGACAGTTACAGATGCAGCTATACAATCAAACTGGACTAGTATGAATTAGCAGTTGCTTTACAAGTCTGAAAATCCCCATATTTATTAGATTTCAAACAACATGAGGTAATACATTTCCAAAATTGCCAAACAAACAATCAACTAATTAAAAAAACATAACCGCAAAGGTACTTCATGTGGTGAGGGGAGCAGTCTAAAAACTGCTCACTCGTGCCTTAACAAAACAATACAAAGTTGATATAATGAAATGAATTGACTGAACTACGAGAGAATAGCGGGGGATATTTGTAGTACGCAGTGAACATCCAAGCGCTGGTGTCAGTAAAGCGTTTTTTAACTGTAAACTGTGTAAATGAGGCAAACACCTTAAGACTCCTGAAGCCTTGTGTCTCGTGAAGACAGGTTATTGGGTTAAGTCTTTCTGACCTCATGATGCTGGTTTTGTAGTTAATATTTCAAGTCCATCGGGACCTCTGGACGAGGTGATGCTGTTTTCTCTAGATAATACTGAAGAGGTGATGAACTTTCCAATCTGAAAGCCTTCACAGAAGTTGCTCTGGTCTAGAATAGCATGCAGACAAACCCAACGTAAGACTGAGCCACCAAAGCGACATTAACCCATGACCCAGAAGAGTTAAAGTTTTAAAACAGATGCAGTAAAAGCAAGATTTAAAGTTGGATATCTGTTGAGTGTAGTCATCACCTGCGGTCCATTCAACCCTGTTGGCGTGCAACTTTGTATGTAAAAGCAACAGCGGGGAAGTGTGCTTAAATGGAGTGTAGGCAAACGAGGCGGCAGGTCTATCAGCAGCAGGTGGTAGAGATGCAAAATACTCTTCTTACAGAGTTTGAGTGCTGGCAGAGTTGAGTTTTCGAACACACCCATCAGTAGAGCGAGGGACCACACCTCTCTCCACACCCCACAGTAAACAACAGGCTTGAAACTTCCCATACAAGTCAGTGCAACAACTGCTCTTCTAACACAGACGATTATACGTTTTTTTTTCACCCTTTAAGTTTAAAGTTATCTTAGTGGTGCAGTTATTAGATTTTCTGAGACAGTCCATTAACCTCTGAGTGATGGACAAATTACAATCTGTTGAGTTGTCTATCATCTTGAGTCACATGTGGGTTCAACATTTGGAAACATCCAAACATAAACCAACAGTTTCTGTTTGTCAAAAGTGGATCTGTATTCCAGTTAATCTCATGGAAGTCACTGGGTTTGAGGTTTGCTCCGCAGTGTGATCTTCAGTTTCACCCTCTGGTGATGTTCCCACATTTCAGGATGATAATGCTCCCATACACACCGAGTGGTTAACACAAGTATACAGTGAAACCCTTCCACAGTCTTCACAAGCACAAGATATAAACATAATGTGGCCATTATATAAAGTTCTGAAGTCCAAAGAAGATTTTCAAAAAAAGACTGGGGGTTTTCAGTCTCGATGAATGGCTCAACATCTCAGTGAAGACAGTTCATGACAGACATCCAAGGAGAAGTGAAGCCACTCTGAAGGCAAAGAGTGACCTAATCCTTCCTGGCCATTGTGATGCGTCTCTGTCATACTGTAAACTCCATGTATAGATTACTCAGAATGCGCCAAAACACTGAATACATAGATACAAAACATTTTCCCATCACACCTCACTGAGTTACAGAGCATGCAGATGATATGTCCAATGTGGAGATGGTGTTAAATATGGCAGTGGATTGTACATACAAGCTTGTGTCAGTGTCTCGGCGTCGCCAGAGGAATGCTTGCAGTTGGACAGGCATCAAGACACAATGCGAGCAGTGCTTTCTTGTTCTGAGGAATCTGGACGGTTGTCCGACTGAGGCGATGTATACAGGAAGTTACAGCACACGTAGAGGGGGAATGACAACAATCGGCTGTCCAGGTTCATCACCACATACTCCTGAGTGATTGAAGGGAAAGGAAGAATATTAAGCAGGTCTGCAAGATAATGGTGATCTGCAGCCATCTGTATCTGAGTAGCGCTCACTTACCTGGTCTTTCTCAAGGGTGAGAAGCTGGTAACCTGTTGAGCGACTGCAGACCAGTTTTCCACGGCTATCGAAGGAGGCAAGACGTAACCTGGACAAATAAGAAAAAAGTCAAGTTTTCCCGGACCAAAGCTGCTGATGAATACACATTGCTTTTATACAAATAGTTTGACATTTTAGTAAATTCACTTTCTTGCTGAAAACGTATACCACTCATATTCTTATAAGGTAAATATGAAGCTACCACCAGCAGCTAACTTAGCTTAGCATGATCATCTTATCTTCCATATTTAAAACCGCATGATACTGACAGTTATAAGCACGCTTTAGGTACAGTGAGTGTTCAAAGGTTAACTGCACCACTGACCTGTATGCCAAATGCCTCCGAGGTTGCAGACTCACAGCGCCCCCACATGGCTGACTCAGAGTATTCCTTTTGAAGACTATGAAGCGGTTTGTGTAGGTCACCAACAGGTCGAAACCAAAGTTAAAGCCTGTCCATCGCCAGCAGTACTGAGGAAAAAGAAAATGTGATTGATTGATGGTTTTTTTTCTGTAGAAATTAAACCAAATATGTTAAGTGTATGGGAGAAAATGTTCCTGTAACAGACTGTCTGACTCACATCTCCATCTTTTGTCAACTTCCTTCCACACCTCATACTGCTCAGCTCAAACTCCTCTTTGTTAGCTTCCTGGGGACTAATGACAGACAGGGGCCTTTGGCATCACACAACTTCATAATCATATTCTATACATACAGTTTTTGTGGTTATATCAACATGCCATTGCAGTCAAAATGAATCCAATGACTCATTATAACACTCACCCATTGTCATTGTCAAACTCTGTCCGGAGCATGGCAAACCACTGGTTTTTGTACACTGACGTTAGCCAATCTGGAAAATAAAGTATGAACAGAAAAATGTCTTTATTTCCAGAGTGTAGTACGTGATGAAATGATGTCATGCAGAACCACATCTCACCAGGGGGCAAAATATTATCTCTCTCCAGGATGCGTGCAGATGCCAGATCGTTGATGATATACTGGAGGCGAACGTATTTGAACACTGAACGAAAGGGTGCACCTTCATCTGTGTTCAAGAAGGGCTCTTTCTCACACAGGTCTGTAGACCAAAGTCAATTGAAAACAGAGTAAAACACCTGTGTGCCGCTATCAACAACAACAACAACAACAAAAAGATTTATATGAAGACACTATTTCAGAAGATGTGGCTTTAACAGTACCAGTCCTGCGTTTGCATAGCCAGGCATCAGCGTCAGCCAGAAGCTGCTTGATTGGGCCGTCCCATGAGGGATTGAGCTGCACAAACATCCACTGGAGAGAGAGAAAATTATGAGAGCTATTAAAACAAGTCTGATAGTCCAGTGAGTATATCTGAGTTATATCTAACGTTTCCTTCTACCTTTTTCAGAGCTGTGTATACATCCATCTCCACCTGCATGACAAACAGGTCTGAGGACTGAATGAGCTGCTCCATCACCTCTGCCCTGTAAACGTAGCGCATAAAGAAATGTTAGTATGGTTTTTACACTGTGGTTTGAAATGCAACTACTTAACATACAGTAGCCATTTCACTTCATTGTCCTCATTTTAAAAAGTAACAGCACTAAAACTAATCAAGTCAATTTTAATCATGGAGTTCCAAGCAACAGAAAATGATATTTGATAATTGTAGGCTAGAAGATGACGTAAAAACTAAAGAATTGTGAGCTGAGCACACAAACCCAAGTTCTTTCATCAGGTCAACATTTTGGTGGGTCATCAGGTTGTTCAGGAGCCACTCAAGACACCTACAAATATAGAGCATAAATTACAATCTTACCTGTAAATTATTGTGATTTGAAATAAGTTAGATTAATCAAAATCTGACTTTTTCATGACTGAATCCAAGCCGTAGATACTGGCACAAGCATAGTAGCCACACACGGTCTTCGCACTGATGTTTTCCTTCATGGTCTCTCCACACTGCTGGATCAAACCATCCTGTAGACAACAACCAGCCAAGAGACTTGATTAGGTTCTGTGTGTCATGTGACTACATTTATACAAAATCAAAACTGCAATTTTTTCAGTCGTGACAATAACTGGCTTCTTTCACTTCACTGACCAATTGTAGCATACAAGCAGCGGCAAGAATACTGACGACTCTGCTGGGCTTGATCAGGACATCGTCCCGGTACAGGGATCCAAAGACAACCTGTAGAGCTACACACGTAAAGCAGGATAGAGTTATCAGTAAAACATGTAAACAAACAAACACAGTCGACTGCTGGTTTCAGTGACTGAAGTGCTCTTACCTTCAGTGTCGATGTTCTGGTCTGGGATCTCCAAGTTGATTTCCATCATGTTGGACTCCTTCCACGAGCCGCTGAACATACTGGAGAAATATCCTGACTACGAAATGCAAGGAAGAGGAGGAATGAGTCCTAAATGATAAGGATAAACACACGTGAAAGAATATATCACAGACTGCCTTTGAGGTGTTTTTGTGTCATTATATTTTACCTGGCACAGATACACTTTGTGGAGGTTCCACTCCTGTCCCAGAGCAGAGATGCGAATGTCACTGTTTTCGCCATTCAGGAACAAGGTTTGATAAATGTATCGTGATGTGCTTTTCAGTTTCTTCCTGCTCAGGTTTGGAAAACAGACAAACAACAGAGGAGAGACCAAAGGCAGGGTCAGACAAAATACTGATAACTGACAGATATTTCACACTGAATTGATCATAGGCTATTTGATTGGACTTGCCTGCGAGGTGTATCTAGTAAGGCATCGTCCTCCTCTTGTTCACTGTCACAGTCACACTGGGCATTTCTTTTCCTCTTCTTACACTCACAATTGTGCTTGCGGCTGGTACTTGTGCCCTCTGCAGCCTCCTCTAGGCCCTGAGAGGGGGACTGGAACCTGCTGCCTAGACTTCCCATCTCTACCCTTTCAGAGACATGAAACAAACAAAGCAACTGTCAGAAATAACAGGTCCACTGTACTGTATCTTCAAATTGCAACATCGCTTTGCAAATCAATATATTAATGAGAGCACACGCTGTTAGGGACTTTGGCTTGTGCCGAGTTGTGATCTAGCTTGTGTTGGAGTTTCCTGTCACTCCCGCTTACAATGGATTTATCTGTTGATTTGTTTTTTGATTAATTGATTATTTAGACTATAAAATAGCAAAAAATAATGAGTTCACATTGCAGTTTTGCAGATCCATGGTGACGTCTTCAAACTGTATGTGTTGTTTACAAATGTTTATAAAAACATGACATGAAAAACATGACTAAAAATTCAAACATTAAGCGGATCCAGGAAAAGTTTGCCATTTTGTTTGACACATCACTTAAATGATTGATTATCAGAATAGTTGCTGATTAATTACCTGTTGATAGACTAATTGAGAATTAATTTCAGCACACTAATTTTTCTTAAGACTACATTACAATGTATTTGACTGTCTTATAAAACGGACAGAATGCTTTCATCATATTATAAACGGTGTATTTAATTTTGTCTATATTGCCTTTCCTTCGAATAAAATAACGACAGTACCCTTCATCAAAAATGACATTATCTAGTTAAATGTTCAACAAAAGAGCAAATGACAATAGGTCAAATTTGTTAGTTGATGTACTATTGTTATCATCTGCCTACCTGACTGAAAGAACAATCATATGTGGCCCCAGAGGCCTCCAGATTTGTATGCACTTGTATTTATGAGTGTAAGGACAACAAACAAAACCTGAACGAAGTTTCATTAGCTACACTTTTTCATTGCAAGAGTCTGATGCAAGGGCTCCCTCCTCCAGCATCTGCAAACCACATGTAGAGTATGCTAAAGAAAAACAACGACTGAGTTAACTCACCTGATGATCAGCAGCGGGCAGGCTGAGGGAGAAGTGTTAAGGTGAATTTGGACGGTAAACACTGGCTGATTATCTCCCGGTCAGACAGTCTGTCAGACGCTGACAAGCCAGCCGAAGAGAAGCTAACCTCAAAGCTAGCTTAGCTGCCGAATTCACAGACGAAAACACGTCTGAAAACAGTAACAGCGTTACTTCTGACAAGCTGTTCCTCCTCACAAGCCTCCAGACGGCAGAATCCTGTTTGGTTCCAGTTACATCTTTCTAAATTGGCGCTAATGCAAATACAGAAATAGGAGATGGTGTGTAGCTACCACTGCCCTGAAAGTCTGTAGCTGCTTTTGTTATTCTTCTTCTCTCTTGGTTACTAGGATGTCAACGTCACATGTGGCTGCTTCGCTCAATGGCGCCACCCACTGTGAGACAGGAGGATTACACAAGTCTGAAAAGTGTAAGTCAATTCTATCACCATCTGTTCATTTGCTTAGTTTAGTTTAATACTTTTAAGGCTTTTGAACCAGATATTAATCATCCCATAAGATATATATGTAAACTTGATAACTAATCCTACACATTGGGCAACAGAAGCTGAACCCTGCTGACCAGTGTGTCTGGCTCCCCCTGAGTCCAAAGGGCACTGCCAAATCAACAAAATGTTCAGCCTCGTACTTATTTGTACTGAGGAGCCTTTGCTTAATACAGACTTTTATCATGACTGCACTGATATTTCGAAAGTGAAAGTCTTTTAATCATTTTGTCCTGAGAAATCATCTAAAATGTATGTGCAGTATATTAAAGGCTTATTTTATTTATTTATTTGATACTTAAATTTTTAAACATGACTTTTTTCCTTGTATAACCACAAAATATAACAGCTAAGCATGCCAAGATATCGTATTTTAAAAAAGGAATGTGTCAATCTGCACTCTCTGTTGGCTGAATTCAGAAGGAATTAATTTTGTTTTACACTAGTAGGAGTTTTATCTTTAATTTACAACATATTTTACCACACACAAAGACAATACTTTTAGTGTAGTAGTGATAGTGATACAAATGGACAGCTAACTGGGTAAATCTTCAAGTTAGAACAGAACATGGGGCCAAAGATAGGGAAGGAAGTTTCCTGGAAAGAACTGTGTAATTTTGTACTAACCATAGGTCAGATACTGTAGACACACTGTCAACACTCTGATGTGCTCCAAACAGCATGTGTGCCTGTGATACTGAAAAGCTTTAGTGCACACACCTGGTTGTCTGTGTGAGACAGACGTCACTAAGGCAACCATTTCACAAAGCTCTTTCATGTTTCTGCTATTCAGGGCACTTAACACCCTTCCCCACAAAGTTGAATAATCCACCCAGGTAGGCCAAGACCTCTAAATGAAGCCTAACCTCTGAGTTGGATAAAGTGTTTGGTCTACAACCATCTGCAATGACCAAAACATACCACCAGTTTCCACAGACCAATAGGTTTCAGCAGAGGTGATCAACTTTCAAACCCCTTAAGAAAAAAAAAGTTACTCTTCCTACCCCTGTGAAAGAAGGGATATTAAACAGCTTCCAAACATGATTTTCAGTGAAAATCTTTCTATCAACTACATTGCTTGTCAAGGCCAGATCGAACTATACAAAACTGACTCTGGATTTATGTGACAACTGTATTTAATAATTCCTAAAATCCTGAGAGTAAATCCCCCACAGCATGATCTCTTTCCAAAGCCGCTGGGTCAATAAACAAATGGCTCATAAACAGATATAAGTATACAATACATGGCTGGCCTCTAGCGGTATCCTGTTGTATTGTAGTCAAGACAGTATATTTGGGAGTAGTGTACGAAAAAGAAAAAAAGAAGGTGCATATAAAGATGCATTTAAACTACTGTTTTATTTTCGTTTTACTGAATGTGGACGGGATTTTGATATGATACATTTATATTAACATTTATTTTAAATGAGATGGTGCTTTTTGTAAAGAACAGTGAAACAAAATAATCTTTGTGCAATATTCATTATAGCTTGATCACTGTTAAAAAATGACTCAGTGCCTTTATAATATCTTCTAACACATATAAATGTTGATTTTTTAATTTTTATTTTTTTTTAGATGTGATCTTATTGTTGTCATGGTTTGACGTGACGGACTTTATACTTGGACATTGTTTTATTTCCTGTTTTATTTTGTAATTACTTCCCTTGTGTCTCTCATTTTAGATCTACTTCTTGTCTTTGCCCTGTTTCCCTCCTTTGTGATTGTCTGCCCCGCCCTAATGTGTTACACCTGTGTCCAATCACCCACGCTTCCCTTGTGTGTTTAGTCACTGTGCTCCCACTTGTTTTTGTCAGTCCGTCTGTTGATATCTTCTTGAAGTGCTTAGCTTAGCTCCTGTTCACTTTCGTTTTGGATTTTGAAGTCTTTGACGTTTCACCAGTTTTGTAAGTTTTCTTTTTGTTTATTGAAATACCTTTTTCCCCCCCTACCAACCCCCTTTTTGTGTTGGCTACTTTTGGGTTCAGTTTTTCCCTTAACCTGGCAATTTTTCCGTTTGCATATTTACGTTTTTTCTTTACTGGGGAAAGGAAGATTAAAAAGGGAGAAAAAATTTGGCAAATATTATATAAATAAATGCAACCCAATTCCAGCATAGATAATGACAATATATTAGAGTAAATAATGAATTGAGCTGATTTTTTAAATTTATTTTTTTTTTGAAGATTAGTTCAACCTTTTCCACTTTTTTGAAACTGTCGTAGAATGTCTGTAGAATCTTTTTAAGGTAAATGTAAAATTGCCTTCAGAAGCTCTAAACCTAATACAATGCCCTTTCTTTCTTCTCCTTTCTTTATATACAGTGCTGTGCAAACGTTTCAGGTGCTTTAGATGCTATACACCATGCACTACCATCAGGGAGGCATATGATTGGTCCCAAATTCATTTTGCAGCATCACAACAAGCTCAAACATACAACCAGAGTCATAAGGAAGTATCCTCAGCCACGAGAAGAATAAGAAGTCCCCCAGTGAGCTCTCATCAGTCTGGGATTGCATTAAGAGACGGAAGACGATGAGAGAACCTGAATGCACAGAAGAACTGTATCCTCCTAGGTGGAATAACCCTTCTCCCAAGTGCCTTGAAAAACTTCGCAAAGGGGGACCAAAGAGAATTGGTGATGTTTACCCAATATTGATTTGTTTTAATTTTCTGTTTGCATTTTGTATGAAGTTAATTCATAAATAAAAACTATTCATGGCATTTTAACATTATTTGAAAACATCCTCCCATTACTTTAGTGCCTAAAACCTTTGCACAGTACTGGATATATATTGTACATAGATTTTATTATCTTATCTAAATAGCTTGTTTTGCTCATTTAATATCTCTTATTACTATTGCATTCATCATCATTTCTCGTATAATTATAACATACAGATGCAATGACTGTAGCCTATTTTTTTTTTTTTTTTTTTTGTGAAGAAATTTGAAACAAAAGGTAGGCAGGATGTGACGTATGAGGTGCTCCCGCTGGTGGGCATGGACATTGGAGGAACCAGCCAATAAACGACGAGCAACTCTTTCACAACATTCCAATCCCTCCCAATCCATCTTCCTCCTCCTCCCCGACCTGCCTGTGTGTATGTGTGTGTGGGGGACTGTGACACGTAACTTCGTCCGTTTCATTGACGTGACCAGGCTGGACACCTCCACCTTGGGCAGGGAGAACAGAGAGACCCCCGTTGTCCCGAGTCCAAATCCCTTTTATTCTGGACATTCTTCAGCATGGAGGCGAGGGACGCGGTAGCAGGTGAGGTTGGCGGTAGCATTGACAGTCAGTGAGGCGATGTGTTGTTGTTTAGCCAGTGTAATAATAACTAGTTAGACCTGCATTCAACCAGGGACACGCTGTTATTTTAAACCATACCCGTGTTTGAGGCAAAAGTATAGCTGAATGTTTTGTAAATCGTGCATGGATTTTTAGCTGTTCTACTTCAAGCCCAATAAGTGAGTGTTTAGCACATAAGATCTTGCTCATAGCCATAAAGAAATACTTTTTATTGTCTTGTTCAAACTCTTAGGTGCTCTTGTGAGAAGTGATGGGGAGGAACAAACTACAAAGAAGGTGGCAGCTCCTAAAAAAGACAAACCACAGACAAAAACCAAGATGGAGCAGATCTTTGGGTTCAAGAAGGAGGACCTGACCTCCTGGCAGAGTCTGGTGGCCCTCCTCAACCGTCCCACTGACCCTGCATCCCTCGGCATCTTCCGCTGCTTGTTTGGTGAGTTAAACCAGCAGCCATTTTCTCAGTCTACTCACTATATCTGACTGACTTTGCAACAGGTTTGAGATTATTCTCAACTTTATCTATACAGCGCCTTTGAAAACACAGGAACAAAGTGTTTTACAGTAAAAAAAAAAAAGGAATAAAAGTAAATCAAAAACACAAATCTAAAACAAGATAAGCCTAAGGCAGCAACCTTTTGTATCAGCTATGGTCTCTGGATGTTTCGCCTGCTGATACCAGAGTAAAGAGCGTTGCAATAGTCCAGTCTGGAGGAGATAAAAGCATGGGTGACTCTCTCTAGATCTGTAGATGAAAGGAATGACTTAATCTTGGTTAAATATCTCAGCTGGTCAAAGCAGGATTGCACAGCTGTCGCAAAAGTGTCCTCCTCATCGTGTGTCTTTCCTGCAGGTTTGGTGATGACCATCGACGTCACACAGGAACGTGGCCTCAGTCACCTGGACTACAAGTACCTGGATGGGGCCCCTGTGTGTCGCTTTCCCCTCTTCAATTTTTTACAGCCCCTGCCAATGGACTGGATGTACCTGGTGTATGTGGTGATGTTCTTCGGTGGGTCACACTCTTTATTTTGAATTGAAGTCTTATGTGCAACAGTTTTGATGTTGAACAGTTCACAACTCAGTGTTTACAGAGGTTTGGGGAAGAGAAGGGTGAAGCAGTCACTTTATAGGAGACAGTCTCTGTGGGGTGGCTGTCTGTGGTAAAGATGAAAGCACATACACCAGACCTGCAATTTTCCACTTTTTTCCCCCCAAGTCAACTAACTTCTGCACAATTTTGACTGTGGCTTAAGCAAAAAAGCAAACAGAGAGCAGAATACAATGCCAATCAAATCAATACTGATTAATGAAAACATCAATAGGGCTTCAAGTATTTTACAAGGTGGATACTTTCAGAGCTTGATTATAAACTAATATTCTACTCCTATTTGAACACTTCCAGTCATGAGCCAACATCTGTCTCTCCTAGAAAAAAATTCACATGGTTGCTTCACCAGGGTAGCAACAGGGTAGCAATCAGAAATCCTTATGTTGCTTTGGT